TTTGGTGTATTTTTTTTTCTATGTAACCCTAAATATTTGCAGATGATTTAGGATGATCAGAACAGAAAAAATAATTCTGTATCCCCTTTTAATTATTAATTATAAAATACTTTATTTCCGTTTTGAAATTTTGAATTTTATATTTTTGAATATTTGATTGTGCCGGTAGGATAACCGGAAGTAAGAACAATTTTGTTGAAATGAACTATTTTTGAATTCAATTATTTTAGCAATTTATTTTGAAAAAAAATAATGAAAAAGAAGAAACGTTGCAAAATTTTTCAAATGTTCGTTTTCTTCTTCGTTTAAAAAAATGACAATGTAGGGATTTGTTGAAGGAAAAGAGCATTTGCTTAAATGTGAAAAACAGGAAATGTTTCTTTTTTTTTTTTGGAATTTTTTTCCTTCCGGTTTTGAAGCTACTGATATCTTAAAATTTCAAATGCCACAAAGAAGTAAGTTCAGCTAAGAAAGTACAGTTAGAAAATCGCAAGGTCCGCACGAATTTAAACGGAATTCACATTTTTGAATTTGTGCCAAAAATCTAATAAATAATTCTGGCAATGTTATTCTGTAATGCATTTTTTTTAGGTATAACGCTTTCAAAATTATAGTTCAAACAAAAAAAAATTGAATTGTGTCCTATTCTACAAGACCAAGTTTGTTAATAATAAAGACCCATAGTTTCCAATGTTGTTAGCAGTTTCACTCCCTCACCCCTTTTCTCATATCACTTTCAAAGTGCTCTTTTGCCGATATTTGTTTACAAAAATAGATTGATAAAAGCTTTTAAGCGCCTTTCAATATGAGATCGATATATCTTTTCTCAAGAGTCAATTATAGCACATTAATGGGTCAGCGGTTGGCTGAAGAGCAAGCGCGGGAGATCAAGCACAACAGCTTCCTGCACATTTAAACTTAATGAGGCCAATGAAAATCAATCATTCGAGCGTTTTCGAGGCGATTTTTAATGTTATTATTTACCTCGAATCCAGCGCTAGTGTTGAGATATTGGTTGGACAATGTGTGCACACTAAAACTTCTTCAAACCCATTCCGCCATTCCTTTCTGCTGTTCGTTCGGCTTACTTGTAAACTTGTCGAAGTTGTTTTTCGTGAGTCGCAATATCAAAAATCACCAGCAAACACATTTCAAATTTTAGACTAAAATTTTAAGGCTTCAAACATCACTAAACTTTTTGAACGTCATTAACCAATTTAAGACACAAAGTTTTAATATGATGGCATATCACCAAACTACGTGGATCCCAAATTTAAACTTGGTTCAACGTAGCCAAACACTGTTTCTATTTGAAGGTTATATAAGATTTGTAATATCTATAACTTTGTTTTCGAAAATCTTGCGGATTTTCAATAAGCTGAAAAAATATAAACTATAAAGAATTATGTTTACTCGAAAAAATGCCCTCGCAAATCATTATTAAGAGAAGACCGAATAATATGTGGCATGTGACAGATGATTTCACATATGTATGCTCTTGGAAAAAGAGCCGACATTGTAATGGTTCATTTAAAATGATTTAAGAGGCAAAATTAACCATATCTCAACAAAATTACACTTACGGACCTATTCACGCAATAGAAAATGGAAAGAAAAAAAATACACATTTTTTCAAAGCAGGGATGTAAAAAAATGCAAATTTGATGTAATTTTTTTCTATTTTTGTAAAGAAAACTGCATTTTATGAATAGCTACATAACACGCACACCCTTTTTGTTTCAATTTTGCTGTTGCGGCTACGATGGCCTTTTCGAGACTACATAAAATAATCAAACAAGTATTTTTACTTTACCCATCTGATATTTTGAAAACATTATAACATATAAATTCACGCGACATATGCTGTGTCCTTAAATCTGTTTTTGCGTTGTTAAAGTTTTTATTACACCTAAAGCCGTTGTTGATATTTCAAGCTTCAGATCAATATTGACCTTATTACAACAGTTTTGAATAATGGCACTAGTAATGGCAGAGTTTTGAATAATAAATTTGAGAAAATGTGGTTGAAATTAAAATTGGAGCAAGATTTATAAAGTTTATTAACTCAAATTTTGGATTTTTTACATTACGAAAACGTTGTAGAATCGCCAAGAAATCGGGATTTCTCAACAGCAACTCATATTACCACTTAAGAGTCGGATGTGTTTGAACAGGGCGGAAAAAAATGTCTTATTCAAAATAAGACACTATTTATTTATTTTTTTTTTTCTCCCAAAAATACGGCTGGCGTTTTTTTAGTCGGCCCGGCATTTATTTACTCTTCTCATTGTCGAAAAAAATCTCGGTCAATTCATTTATTCCAAGAAAACGGAATGACATTTCTTCCTCTCAATAGATTTTCGAAATCAAATTATCCATGTTAAGGCAATGATGCATTTTAAGAAATGTTTTATTTCAATGATCTATGTTTTTTTAATACCAAATTTATTAATTTGATCTTCAAGTATCAACTATTCAATTAAATAATACCGAGAAATAGTCGGATTTCATTTCTCACTTACCACTATTTCACATATTACAAAATGAAATTGGTTACCATTCTCAAAAACTGTTATTTTATACGCGGAACAAACATAAAAGACGACTAGAATTATCAATTTCTAATTTCAAGCCTGGAAAATTGCAAACCATTTTGTTAGAGATTCGTTTTGTTCATTCACTGAGCTCAACAAATTGATTGGAACGTCTATGTCTTTTACTCTAGAAATACGCGAAAAGTAACGTTGCGATGAACAATGAATTTCTATTTTAGAAATGTTTTATTCAAACACCTCCGTCCGCCGAACTGAATCTCGATGTGTTTTAAATAAAGAATATTAAAGAAGCTTGAATTTATTTTTTGCGACATCTCCTAGAAATACGAGCGCACCGGAAATTCGAATTTTCAAAATATGAATGTAGTTAGCTTTTTCGATAGTATACATTTATTTACCTAAAATATAATTTTATGAATCGCTGTTTTTTTTTTATTCGAGTTCATAAAAATTTTCAGTCATGTTTCAAAAAATGTAATTTGAATTACGCCTTTGTAGTGTTCATTTCCTTTCGCATCGCAAAAAAAAGTGCAAAAAAATAAATTGAAAATGTCTCTTTATTGTCATATTTCGTCTATGCACAGTTTTTTGGCGATTTTCTGCTTTATTATACATGCCAATTCGTTGCATCTTCTTCTGCACTTCACTCGCCAAAAATAGTTTATCAGGCTCGAGTTTTCATTTCGGCGTGTATTCAAGTATGTTTAATAGTTTTTCGGCAGTTTTAAAGTTTCTTTCATACATAAATGTGTGCTTTTATTGAGTCCTGTAAAGGTTCAAAGACTCACCAATTTCGTTGGTTTACCGCTACGTGAATTTAACGCATTTAGTAATATTCGAGATTTCATATTTCTAGTACTTTTCCTCTATTAACCCGCTTGATTATTATATGAATTATTCTGTTCTGCCGACAAAAGAACAATTAAGATTGACCATATGTAACGATGAATGAAATTTAAGTTATTCTAGCACCTTTCTCTCGCGAGCAATACAGATTACTAGTAGGCGGTTTAGCAGTGTGATCGTTTAATAAACGTTGTATCAATATATTTATTTACACACATGTTTTATGATCACTAAGAAAACTTGGAAGCGACCTGTTCCAGCACCCTTGAGTTCATTTTTTAGTAAAAAAATTTACATGCAGAATTTTCTTTTGCAATTATTGCGCCATATTTAACTTCTTCAAAAAAAAGCGCTGAACACAACATATAAAGTTCCTTTTTACTAAGATCCGACATTCAGCTTAGCGTAGGCAGACAACATAATTCAAAAACAAAAATCACTCATGTGTATAATATTTTTATGAAACAATTTAGGGTTGCCGTGTAATATTTTTTAGTCGAACAAACATGTATTTTAATATTTTCGTTACATGAAAAAAAAAAATGTTGTACTTTATCCCAGTTTCAGCTCAATGAGTTGAACTGGTGACTAGTCAAATTATGAGCATAAGCTATATTCGTATAAAACAGGCGTTTTTTTACGTAAGAAAAGCTAATTCCGAGCTTAATCAAACTGTTACCCCCTTCTGAGCTTTCATTATGAATTCATAAAAATAACACAAAAAAATATCATTTGATCGCCTACATGCAAATTTTCAGGTACACTAATTATTTATTAGCGTTAGTTTTTTGAAGACTTTGTTATTGGATTTTTTGCCATGGTGCCAAATGCTAATTGGAATATTGGATGACACAGAACACATTTTTCTCGCCTGAATGCATAGGATCGGTCAAATTCTTATGCGTGCCACTTCGCGAAACCGAAGCGGCAATTTACATGATATATACATATATTAAGACATGTGCTTGGGGTTCATGTTTCAATTAGAAAATAGTCATTCTCATCTGATGAAATATTCATTCTGGGAATACTATTTTTTTATTCATTCAACCTATTTTCTGAGAACGAAATTCTCGATTTGAAATGTCTCTGGACAGTATGTAATCTGTATCTTTATTTTACAAAATACCTTGATACTCAAACAATGACACGGAACCTTTTGAAATTCACTCGAGACCCTAAACTACATTCACATTAAAAGCTTATTTCAATTTTGTTCATAAAAAAATCATCGTTTTTTTCGCTGCTCTTCGTTTCGTCTGCGTCAAAGAGGCGGGGTTTGCGAGAATTTGCGACCGCCCCCTCAGCTTCTCCAATGCTATAATATTGAGGAAGTGATAATTATACCGGGCAAGTTAATTCTTGTTTTCCTGCCTGTTCTCTTTTATAAATTCTATATGATTATTTGCACAATTTTTGACAGTAAATTCTATTTTTCATCCATGTAGTCAGAAAAATCTTAAATGTTCATTTACAATGTCGTGTTTCATACGTTTCTGCCCAGAATTATTCAGTTATTTTTTCTCAAATTTATCACCTCGAATCGCATTTTGTATGTCAGTTTAAACCTGCGATTGTGTAATTTGTTTCAGTGGAAAAATGATGACGCCAGTGCCAACGAAATGCACCGATATTCGGACATATCTATGGGAGACGAAAACCGATTTGACGCTTCATCCGGCCTCGATATTTTCGTTTTCGATCATTTATACATTTTTCATCACGTAGGTTCAATTATTCAGTAGATGAATAATTTAAAATAAGAAATCACGTTATGATCATTTTTATACCGCTCTTGGATTTTGGGTGGAATTTTGAGCGTGAAAAAATTGCGTAGGTGAAAAGAGCTGTTCTTTAAAATGAAAATACTTATGAAATGAATGTCATGTAATTCAGTAAGATTTCGGGAGTATTTTTAGTAAAAAATCAAAAATTCCAAATGCTATTTTGAATTTACAATGATTCAACCTGCCATCAGCAGAAGCTTTCTGGTTTTCCCCACTATTAAAAACAAAAATCTATTAATAATTTCAGTTCACTTTTTTTTTTGGAAATGTCATTCGTCTAATTTGTTGGGTGTGCATGAAACAAAAGGCATGTGAAGAGAAAACCAAATGAATGTCAATATCTTGTGACTAACGCATATTCTAAAAACCACGCTAGTCCATTCTGCGTGTAAAATTTAATTAGGAAAAGGACCGAGCATCCCCGAATTCAATTAATTTCGTAATAATGATATTATTGCGCTGAGATCGCTGAATGCGTTTTCGGTCGACAAATCCGAACATTCAATGGTTGAGAAACTCTGGTGATTTTGATTTCCCTAATGCAACAATAACATTGATTTTGCGTAACGGTTCTTTGCAGCTGGCTAATTTTCATCATATATCTGAAAAATGACGCCCTAATTTTAGGCTTGGGGTCTTCGGAAATTTGTTAGTCGTCATCTCGGTTTGCAAGCATAAATCTCTACAATCGGTCCGTAACATCTTCATTGTCTCGCTTTCGTGCTCGGATATCGTGGTGTCTATTGTTAGCGGCTCAGTGACTCCAATTACCGCATTTTCCAAAATATGGCTATTTGGAGTTCATTTGTGCCACCTTCTTCCACTTATTCAGGTTTCACCAAAGATATTTTAGTAAATAAAACATTATTTTTTCCAGGGTACTTCTCTATGCTTCTCCACCCTTACGCTTACAGCAATTTCGATCGACCGTTTCATTCTTATTGTGTATCCGACGAAAAAGTGAGTCTTTTATGAAGCAAAAAATAATTGAAATTAAATGGAAAGTAATTCTGGCAATTTGAGAAATAAAGAATAAGAAGCTCATAAAGTGAATTTATTTTCAGACCTATTCAAAAAAACCATGCAATCCGAATGATTTTCTTTAATTGTACATTGGCTCTCGCCCTCTCACTTCCTATGCCCATCAAGCAGAAATTGGTCACGTATGGAAATTTTTGCGGACAATTCTGCACCGAAGATTGGCAGGATAACTTGCATATGCGAAGTGTTTACGGTAAATGAATTGTTCCAAACTGTGCGTAGAATGACGTGTTCTCAAAATGGTTCCCAATTTATTTTCAAATAGTTGAATTGGAATTCAACAAGTAATACCTTTTTCAGAAAATTTTCATGAACAATTAAAACCAAATGAGTCTATGTTTCAGGAACCGTGGTCTTTATTATTCAATTCGTTATCCCATTTATTGTCATTGCTTTTTGCTACACAGCTATATCTTTAAAACTCCGTCGAGGAATCCTGGTTCGAGGAAGCCAAAAGGAGTTGATGACTGATCAGCGCAAGAGTGCGCTTCAACGCCGAATCCGCACAAATCGCATGCTTATGGCAATGGTTTGTGTCAAAATGAAGCCCTAGAAATTCAACTGATTAATTTCAAGGTCGGTGTCTTCTTCTGCTGCTGGCTTCCTTCAGTGGTGTTTAACTTCTTACGTGATTATTCATGGCTTCCCAACTTTGTCAGCTCGCAGGAATACCTCTTTGGCGTGGTTACGCATTGCATATCGATGAGGTATACAATCGAAACTATTTTTGGGCTTCTGCAAGCAAAAAAACCAATTACTCGTCTAAATTGTTCTTGTTTGTTTACTCCGAAAGTTTGAACCTTTTTATTGCGTTTAGTTCTGTGTGGACTCAAAGAAATAAGATTTCTTTCTACTGAACTTTGAGGAGAAGGCGACCAAATAAGGAAGTAATGAAACGTTTTTTCAGCTCGACTGTGTGCAACCCTTGCCTTTACGCATTGTGCAACGAGCAATTCCGGGCCGCTTTCACAATCTTGCTTCAAAGTGTTAAAGGATCTATCGGAGTGGCCAAAGTGAGAAATACGATATTTACCAATATGAATTTAATCGATATTCATTTTACAGAACGATCCGAGCTGCTCGCAATTGATGCGCCCAAACTTTGACCAAAGCACCAGACGTTCGTTTGTTTCGGCTGTCCCAAGTTCAATTTAAACCATGTACCCATCTAAACGTAGCCAATGTACTAATAATAATGATTATAATATCTTAGAAATTTCCCATTTCTTTTCTGTGAATTTTTCCAAAAAAAAAAAATCTATTATATTTTCCGAAAACTTATGAATTTTCCTGATCTACTGCTATTCTCTTGCGCTTAAATTGTGATTTCGCGAAGTATGTTTATCTGCTTTTATATAAAGATCAAAAATATAAAAAAGCGAATACTTGAAACAATAAGTGCAAATGATATTTGTTTTAACGAAAAAGCAAAAAAAAAACACTTTTTAACGCACTATACATCAAAGATCAAAACAATTAAGACATTTTGCATTTATTTCGAAATAGGATTACGCAGTTTCCCGGATATAATTCGATATAACTGTTGAAAAGAAATTAAAATTGAATTATTGAAAACTATCGCAAACGGAAAAATAAATATATTTACATATATGTGTATTGTTCCCTACGAGTTTGTGCATTGAATACGCGTAAATCGTATTTTGATTCACTGCACACAAAACAATGCGGCTACTTTCACCCGGCAGAGGTCAAAAAGTAGATAATTACAAGGCGCACCATCACTCGAACTCAGAGGATGAGCTGGTAAGAAGAGCCGCACAATCTGACACCCTCCAAACACCTCCTTAGAAATTCGAGACCTTTCAGAGTAGTTATTGCGCAATCACGCACGCAAAACATCAGGATCCCCTTTATATATACATATTTGTTAAACTCGGCTGTATTAAGATTTTCCAACTATCGAAAAATGAATATTCAAAGAGTTGAACAAAACAACAAGCAAACCAGAGATATCTAAACAAATAATAGCAACACTTAGAAGAGACACGGTAGGGATTAGTGGTATTGTGATTCAATATGCATAGATAATTTACAGCCAATTCCATCCCATCGATTTGCATTACAATTATTGTATAGATTGCAATAAAAACGTGAGTTTCATTCTGTCATCTAAACAAAAAATGAATCGAAGTTCACATTAGAACGAAGTCACATTGGACCTATGAATTATTTGATCTCTGAAACGTTAATGTACATGGAAGCTCATGTTTTTCCCCTGGAAGTTTAATTGAGTCTTCATTAAAATACTGCGGAAGGGACGAAATAGCAATTTTATCAAAAATGCTTTTTGAATTCCAAAACCGGATAAGTGAGTCATGCAGTTTTATGGCTGTTTGTTTGTTTTTATAAAAAAAAGTAGAATGATCATATTAAAAAATTATAAGAACATGAAACATTATGCTTTGATCCTGAATTGTAATAAAAAAAGTTTGGGAAGAAAAAGGGTATTAACGTAACAATTTGAAAACTATTAAGTTTAAGCAATGTGCTCAGAGTCAAATTCGTTGCAAACTTTTTGAAATTTTCGGAAAAAAAATATATATAAATTTTCATTCTTCGAAAAAAAATTTTTTCATTAAAAAATTGTCATTCTTCGAAAAATCTAAATGTTTCGGTGCTCCTCGACGGTCTCATGTGCTTCTCAATTTTGCGAGACATTTGCAGTTTAACATGTTAGATGTATTCAGTATTATCAAGATTACATCGTCGTCAAACACGTTCAATTTCTGATCTCTAGATAGTTTTCAATGAAATATCAAGAACGTTTCTTATTGTCTGATAGCTCGCGTCGACATTACAACAAAAATGTCTACATATATCTCTACCATATTTTATTGTTCGATACTTGCGTAGGTAGAAATGCTACCGTAATCGTTTGACGAATTGTTCGTCTGAACAATAGTGGCATTCTCTACAGATTTATGGAGCGGTAGTGACAGCCTGAGTAGGGAAATGCCAAGAAAATCTTGCGGTCGACAACTATCTGAACGTGGCGAATGACTGTACCGTGTTTAAAAATTAAGATCTTTGGTTTTTAAATGATTTAACTGAGATAACATATTCCTTGATGGTAGAACAACTAATAAGAGTAGTCTAACCTTTTGATTGGAAGCAATTTAAATGTTTTCTGTTCGAATGCAAATTATGATTCTAAATTCAGAATAATTCGAAGCTAAAATCGTTTCTCGATATCATAAAGTATTAAGAGGGCAAACCCCCGTCCTCAGGTTTTTGCCACTTTCATTTAGCTTTCACTTGACTTTCACATTCCCCCCATACCCATCGCAATTCGATTTTTTTTCAAATCGGAAATAAAGCAGTTGAAAAAAAACTATTCGGCGCCAGTTTAGAGTGCCGTCTTCGGCGACGACCGTCGTCGTTGTCTTCCTTTCTTCATCTCTTTTTTCTATTTGATTCTTCTTCTCATCCACCTTCTTCGTCGTCTTTTTTCGTTCATCGGCATAAAACCAGTTCGGCTAAATCTTCTTTTTTGTTCATCGTCTCTGTTTTTCTGAATACCTTTGGAGGCAGAGAACCAACCCGCGCGGCGCGCGCGCCCAATTTTTTCTGCCATTCAATTTGAACGAAAAAAGGAGATGAGAAGATGCGATGGAAATTGTATACGGTTCGCCGGAGACGCAGTCGATTTCAATCTACCGTCAAACGAATAGACACTGTGGGTGGCAGCAACCCCAAAGCTTGATGATTGACATAGCACTTTCATTTTCCATTCTCTATTTGGTTTTATTTTTTGATCGCTTCGGAATGAATGGTAGCGATAAAATTGAAACGATGATGGGAATTGAGAAGAAATTTCCCAAAAAAAAAGCCGACACCGATGAGTAATTAAACGCTGAATACGATTTAATCGAATCGTGTGAATTGAAATCGGATTTTAAAAAAATCTTATTTATCGGTACATAAAAACAATGAAAAAGAAAACTGGCAAAAAATTGCAGCCGATAACAAATTATCCGTTTTGCTGAAGAGAACATCTTAAAGTTTTCGGAGAAAAAGAAAATGCAAGTATTTTACAAGGGATTATGTGATGAGAAAAATTAAACAAAATACAGTACACATACAATGCTTAATAGCTGAGGATCTCACTAGGATGTTTTGAAATGAGGAGATGATTGGAAAGATAGAAAAACAATACATATTAACTTAAATAGTAAAAATGATAAAAACTATGTCGACGAATTACGATAGTTGTTCGCATGACAATAGAAATCCATTAATATTGAGATTTAATTACGTAAGGGTACCGTTGAAATGCAAGTTGACACACACTATGATGGGTAAATGCACAAAATGTTCTGTGAAAAGGAGATGTTCAGAAAAGGCAACAGTGAAATTGGTGAAAAGAAGGGGAAAAAACCCGAAAAGGGTGAAGTAAGTTTAACAATAGTTAAAATAGTAAATTTGTTCATAAAGGCATGTGGCCCGTAACAAGTAAAACATAAAAACTTAAGAAGAGGCGAGAGATCGCTTTTGCCACAGGGCAATACTTATTTGGGTTCTGCTTGGGATTTTCCGAGAAAATTGCGATAGGCAGCGCCAAGATAACAAGATTTTAATGAGAAAAACAGTTCGGCTCCTATGAAGACTATCGAAGAATCCAAATCCTTCGAGCTAATGAACGAAGTTGATTAGACAGGCATAGTGTAGGAGGCTGAGGTATACACGACTGGAACACTTCGCCGGGTCGTCTTGAGCATTTCGCAAAGCAGGGAGGCATTCAATTGTGGTCCCAATGCACCAGTCATGAATTTCTCCGAAAGATATTCTTGAGCAGCTGTGGCGAGAATTCTGCAAAATATTAACTTGTTTCAATCTCTTAATTTTGCCTAGACTGTCAATTATTAATTATTATGGGACATTCTAAAGTCACTTAGCCCACCCGCTGGGTTATACCTAAAACAATATGAGCAATGCATTGTAATCCGTGCTTCATGCGCACCCGACCTGAATTGATGGGTCCGACCTATTATAACTTTTTGGACTAATTCGAGACATCTCTCGCTACCACCCGTTGTGGTCCGACCAACTCTCACAAAATCGAGGGGGGCGAGGTGAAGGGAAAGGTGAGCCACTAATTATACAGCACGTCGCTAATTTAGTTGCGCAGATTGATTGAATCTAGAGGTATCAAGGACGAATGATGGAATGACAGTGAGGAATCGGGAGATTTGCCCGGCGTTTTATGGGTACGGCAGCAATAAGTCGCGAGTAGTCAAAGAACTAGAGATATGTGAGAATGGAAATACCAACCTGATCTGCTCGAACACCTCGCAGAGAACGCGTGTCGAGCGAATTTCTCCCCAGGATTGAAGAACCTGATGACGTACAGTTGTCACCAGTGGATTTTGATCTAAATTTGCTATTCGTTTAAAAAATATCCATTGTGAAATTCGACGAACCGTTGACATCAAATAATGCGATGAACCGGAAAGCACAGTAGTCGTATTTCGAGAATCCGATATTGCGAAGTCTCGCGACAATTTCGTTCCACTGTGACACCAAGTTTGGATTGCCAAGAAGCGCCATGAACGATGTCGGTACTCTGTAATAGAAATAAATTTTATATATCCAGTCGGGTCTTCGGGATTTAGTGGATGCGTGTTACGTCACCACGAGATCGTGGTCTCATCCGGCTCCCACGAGTTATCAACAAAATCTAAAAAGGGATTGCGCAATCGTTTAGTCGGCGCGTTCCCTTTCCGTTTTAGGACTCATTAAACTCATCGAGATTAAATGCTACTATAATGCCGCTGTTTTAGCGGCAACGAATGTGTTGATTGGATGAATTACGTAATCAAAATAATATTAAACATACTCTTGGCCGTTGCTCAACTTGAACATCATTGGCAAATCTCCTCGAACAACGGCATTGGTAATGTCGATCAAGTGAATTGTCGACCAAGACACTTGTAACAATTGCATTTGGTCGTCCATCTGTAAAAAATAAACGTATAGAAGTAGTTAATCGCAGTGCATTGTATTGATAGGTGCGCAAAGTGCATGTTTCCGTATTCTTCCTATTCAAGTGGCACGAATTATGGAAAACAATACAAATTGGTCGCGGCGATGGACCCTTTGATCTCAATAATTCATCGCCACCGGAAATTGGTGAGAATCGGTCAATAAAAAAAACGAGGAACCGCCATCCGTAATACATAACAATAGACACACGAAAAAACTTAAACGTACGGTGAGTTTGCTGAAGTACTGATCATTTTTTGCCCATCCCACCAAATCTTGCAAATTTTGCTCAGCGACGTCCATAGCGTAGATTAGAGGTTCTGGTTTAGAAGTTCGTGAGACTTCGGTCAATGTGCGCAATATCCTGAAAGCATCAATTCCACGATTCGTTGTATTTCAAGTTTGAATTCAACATTAATTTATGACAACAAACCAACAATAACATGGACAATATCATGCATTCGAAAATACACACTTGGTTTCATCCGGGAGATGCTTCGACATTTCGGCGAGAGTGCTATTGTAGAAGTGATCGACGGTTTTCTCCGTTGGAATGGGGCAGATTGGAAGAACTGGCGATGAACGGTTGGACCCTTGTCCGGAATCTGTAAATGGAAGCTGAAATTGTAGAAATAACCGTCAACTCGCTCTTACTTGATGAAGTGCTGGTCACTTGTGTGCTAGTAGCAGTCGACATTGGAAGCATGTTCATGTATGTCGTAGTTGGATGGAACGCCGAATCATACTGAAGCTGATGCGGAATAAAATGCTCGCTGTAGTCAAACGGCTCCTGCTTAATTGATGGATATCCCACCGGGAACTGATGCGTAGAGCGGAGAAGCGGATCATCAATGGAGCTGCCTAGAAGAACGGCAAGACTATCCTGATCAGCAAGATAGTTTGGGCGGATGATGAAATCAGCAACTAAATTGAGCAAGCGTTAATAATCTCTAAAATTAATCTAATCTTACTCTGCTGGTGAGCAGTGCTGCTCGACAGAGTCGGGCTTTGAAGTAGCGCATCATATCCGCCTTGCTTGTATTCAGTCTTCACCTTGTTTTGATCAAAGTAATGAAGATTAACATTCTGATCATTAGTGCTAAATAATAATGTTGAATAAAAACCAAATAAGGTTTCATTTAGAACCTGCTCGTGACTTGATGTTCAGTATGATAGAATGGCTGTCCGCTGCCGGCTGGAATCTGTGGAGCAACTCGCATCGCATTTCTTTGAAGGCGATGAGCTCTGTCACGTTTGTAGAATGATCCAAACTTATTGCGTCCTCCACGCATACGATCAGCACGAACCGCTAAAATTTCAATGTGAATTTTCTTGCCGGTACATTCGATTGATCCCCACCCCCTCTGGATGACATCTCTAATTTCATTTTTATGCGGCGGCACCTGCAGCAGTAGGCAACCAAAATGAGCGCACGGATCATTAGGCGGCTGGTGTCAAGTGACTAGAGGCGTTACGGTATTTGCCGCACGGCACCCTCAATTGAACCGCGCCGCCGGATAAATGAAGAGCGTTCGATGGGCCACTTTTGGCATTAATTGAAGTGAGTTTTTTTCAATGCGAAACAAAGCGCTAGTCTCCCCCCGAAAATGATGGGTACCACCCTTTTACACCTGTAATTATCCGCCGGCTCATTCCTTTGTAGTTTTATGTGCGACAATGTCCCCACAACAAACTATCTGCCAGCTGCCGACAACCCGACAATTATGGTTGTTTGCAGCAAGAACATGGTTTTGCACTTGTCAAAAATCGATTAAAAAAGTGAACTTGGATGATGGGACATCACCCCCAGGCACTACCGGTTTTTTTTTGGCAATGCCTCTCGATGCGCATCGCTTTCAATTTTTTGGCTACGCCGAAACAGTCAAAACTTTTGATCGGTTTCTATCTATGTTGGTCTACACGTTTTAAGAGTGATGCCGTCCAGTGAGCCACTATATGTGAGGATTGATTGGCAGTTAGCCTCTGTGATAAAATCAATGCGCGTGAGCGTAAGAGGGTCTTGCGGCAGCAACACAGTAATGGATGAACAGTTTGCAGATAATCATCTACGATGATCCTGGCTTACCTTCCATTTTCATTCCCATCGCAATGCATTTTTGAAAACGACAGCTTGGGCAACGCTTACGACATGTGCGGTCGACGTGACAGTTGGATTCTCCAGAACATTGGTATTGCTGAAACTAAGAACTCATAATAATTGAATGCTGACATTTTTGAAATGTTACGAAATACTCGTGTTTGTTATTCAGCTATATCATACTGTAAAGAAAATAACAAAAACAGTCGGAGAATTTTGCTAATATAGAGAAGAAGAAGAAGAGATAAGATAGGATAGGATACCGTAATCCGTCAATATGACGCTCATTCTAGGAGTTTAATATGCTTACCTTTTTGTTTTGGACAGTGCGTTTGAAGAAACCCTGAAAAAAGTCACCATCAACGACTGACAGAATAATGTTAGAATGGCAAATGACCATACAAGGTGAGAGTTGCTTGTCCTTGGCTCGGCGGACCGCGCCCCTTGTCCCTGAAAATCGGGACAGGCGCGGCAACTCTCACTAAATGACCTTATCAACAGAACCGAAAGACTAACCTTGCAACTTTCACATGTCAGCAGTCCGTAGTGGTATCCGGAAACCCGATCGCCGCAAACTGGGCACACTTCGGAATCAAGATTCGGCTTAAGCACCATTGTTTCAACTCCGACCATTACGTGATCGAACTGAGACAACGAAATTTTTGAGAAGCTGTTTTCAAGCTACTCGTTTATGGGCGAAGGTCAAATATGAAACGGATCTATTAATGGCAGCGGTAGATACGGTGCGACGGTCAATCGGCTAGTATGGTACCCTCCTTGTGGCACACTCAGGCACTCGCACGCACTGAACTCCTCCCACAAACCGTTGGTTGGTTTAGGACGCCGGTGTTTCTCTAGCTAGCTCGGGTTTCTCTAACGTCTCTCCCGTCGAGCACTATTGCCGTCGTCTTACGGTAGAATGCGCGAAGCCGTCTGAGTAGAAATGGTGCCAAAGAGCGAGCGCCCGCGCCGTGTCCGACTCGATATATGAATGCGTTTTCGTTGAAGGTCGGACGACGCCTGTAAGTAGAATAAAAAAAAAGTCTGAAGAAGAAAAAGAAGAAGAATCATGATAATCGAAGGCAAGGTAAAAGAAAATGCGGGTTGGGGGGGGGGTGTTGGTTCGGCTAGGCCACCCCAGGCAATCTGCAAAAAAATAAGAGGAGGAACATTGAATGAAGAAAGGCGGAGTGATGAAAAACGGAGAGATGATGAAGAAAAGCAGTACGGCACGAACAACGAATTTCACTGAGTGTACAGGCCGTGCCTAGTACCGATATAATTTTTTAGGCATCGTTACCGTCTACCCTCGCGGCGACGCCGGCGCACGAGACTACCCTCTCGAGTTTTTGTAATGTTTTCTCGAATACAGTCACTTGGTGACCTACCAGTTTTCGCTTTTTCATACAGCGCTCATTTTAGCTGTTATATCGGTCTATCTCTACCGCTTACTGCATTTTTTCTGCCACCTAGTATAACTAACTTCTGCGTGTGTCCATTGCGCAATCATCGTGTTGCTTGACCATCCTGCGGATAAAACTATCAGATTGCGCGAATTGGATCTGCGTTTTCACTGTTTCAAAGATGCATTCAAATCAAAAACGCAAGAAAACAAGCTACTGCGTGGGAAAAACGCCCCTCAAGAATGTTAATAAAAATTTCAGTTTTTTGCTATTTCAGCGGCTTCAAAATACGTAGGGTCGGAAAAAATGAGAATAAAAAATGTCAGGTATTCTCTAAAAAAATAAAGAGACATTATTCTAAAAGAAATTATTCTAGCTTTATATCCAACTTCATAAAACTGTAAATATGCTGACAAATTTTGTTGCGAACACTTCCACTATTCGTTTTTTTTACAGAAAATAGTCACAAAATTGAGATTCCTTCGACACTGTTACAATTCGTTCATGTTGTTGTATTACAATCAACACCTTGTTGAGGAAAAATCCAGAAATACAAAGGTACAAAAACCTAGTCCAATTTTGGCGAGTGCCCGACAACAAAGAATCATTTGGCAAACGGCAAAAATTCATATATCGAGACAAATGTGTAATGGGAAATGATAATAATAAATAATTAGCGGTGTGATATGTATGGCGGGAAACTAATAAAAACCATTAAGCCTTCATAAACTGGCATTAGATAGAAAAAACTGATCATTGGTTCAGCCGCGCCAATTTTTGGCTTAAAATTCAGGACGGCAATAATTGGAACAAAATATGTCGCTCCAAAGTTGATTAGAATACAGATGGGTGCCAATTAATGTCGATCCGGACGGATTTGAATGTTGTTTGGCGGAAAAGGGATGTGGCAACGATGAAGTTGCTTGTATGTCTACAAAAGGACGAAAAGCATCAAACGACTGTGAGAGGCAGAAATTGCCGACACCTCATGCAAAAAAAAGATATTGAGTGAATAGGAGAAAACGGCTGATGCGAGAGAGAAATAAACCTGCGCGGGACATAACCTGCGGGAAACATTGACGGCGACAACGATGGCAGACACACGCAACATGCGCAGGTTCGGATATTACGCTGAATTACGACGTTTCATGATGGTGACGATGGCGGTAGTGGCGCCCGATGCGTAACGATGATCAAAGAGAGAGGGAAAGAGGGAATTCCCCCCTTCCCCTCCCTCTTACTTCACGCGAGTCACGGGAATCGCTTCAAGAATACATACATGAAGCAACAAGTTTTTGTTCGACGTTTCTTTTGCCCGCAGAATTTTTGTAAATGTTCTACATGTTACACATATCCTAAACGGCCTAACCATGAGCGAGACAAATTTTTGAGAAAGTGCAATGCAGATGTCTTTCCAAAATGAGACAGATGTTAATGAAATAAACCGAGAAGCTCGAAATGTAATTTAGTGACCATATTATTTTTTTGTTTTTGATGTTGTCATCGTTTCGAATTTTTTTATTACTCTTTAATGCCATTCTTACCCATTGTCAGATACCTGTGGGTGAGGCAAAAAAAAACCTGTCTATTCTTCGGAAAAAGTGAAGAAGGAAATAGGCGGCGCTCGTCGAGGACCCGAAATGGTTTCCGTCCGTAGAAAAAAAAGTTGCATGATACAGAAAAATTGTGTCAAACGCCGAGTATGGAAAGAATAAATGGCAACCGGGTCAGTCTTGAAAGAAATGACGAGAACGTGCCCGTGGCCGAAACAGGTTATCATCACCGGTTAAAACTTTTCTATTTAAATCAGTCCGAAAAACTGTTTTTAGTAAACGCAAATTCCGAAAAAAAAATGCTGTTATTCGGCATAAAAAACGGAATTCGGCATAAAAAACGGAATCTTGTATTCGGCATAAAAAACGGAATCTATCATGTCAACCATATGCTAACAGGTTGAGCGGAAATGGTCAAACGCTAGCCGATAAATGTGCGCGATCGGATCTGTTTTGCATTTTTGTGCATAGACATCTGATAAAGATCGATGAGAATTGGTTTGTTTACATCAAACCTGAAGATATAGAAAGACGTCAAGAAAATAAGGAAAGGAATGAGAAAATCGTTTCTCCTCGAAAATTCGAAAAAAGTGTGTGATTTGATAATAATTTCTGGACAGTCCTATATAGAGGTGAAATGAACTGTTTGGAATGAGACAGAAGTTAGTTATACACTTTGTTGTGACAAGCGACGGAATCCTGCGGTTGGCGTAGCCCAATTTTTTTTTATCTGAGTGATTGAAGTTTTTCTGGTCGAACGAACAAGGAAAATGTGTCGAATCCACGACATTGATACCACAGAACTTTTTCATGCTAATTTTCGAAATGTAATCTATGATGTTCTTTTTTTTTCGATTATTACAATTTTTGAAGTAGTCATGGGGAATAAAAAGAGTTGAAAGAAATTGTTTGTCTCAAAATGATAAACCGTTTTTTTTTTAAATTTCATTATGAGTATGTAATTTAAACATTACAAAGAGTTACCTCGGGCAGTTGATTTGAGGTAATGGAACGATAGAGAGAATTGAAATAGTGAAATTGAAGGTCGATTGCTCGCCGTATAATACCGTTCCTTTTTTGAATTTTCTCAAGACTGAGAGTTTCCTGAGAATAAGCGTCGGCTTACAAAAATACAAAGGAAAACGAAAGACATCAAATCGGATGATCGGTGATGAGGAATGGCTGCTGCTGCCGCTTCTTACTGTACTTGGAGCGCCATCTACGGCACAGCGGGACGGCCGTGCTGCCAACCGCGCACTCCCTCCCTCCCTACCTCCTCCTCCTCCACCCTGGGCCAAAGTGGGCGTGGCGGACGCACGCGGTGTGTCAGGTAGGTTGGAACAAGGCGAGTAAGAAAAAAAGGGAAGGTGCGCGACGGTGGGCGAAATCGTACGAGAATCGAATTATGAGGCTCTAGAATACCACCCACGGCATGAATGACGCGCAATACATTAGAAAAAAAGCGGCGGCGCGCTTCAGCAAGCTTCGGGCCTGGTTCCCGTTTTTGTCTGCTTTGTAAGGTGTTAGAGAGAGGGAGAAGCTGCCACAAAATCGGTATGGCGCGCCGGCCGATCTCACCCACACCACACACATACACAAATAGATACTTTCGATTTTTTTTTCTTCGTCGTTCAAACGCCTGAGATCGTACCGACAATGGTTTTTGCAGTCCTGATCCAGTAAGCGCACTGCAAAAACGCTTGATGAGCGCCAATACAAACATGAGAAAAAAAGAGGAAGTATTGCGTTTTTTTTTTCAGTTGCCGATCGAAACAACTTACCGTACACGGAGAATGTTTGCGTCGAATTCACTTTTTTTCTCAACAAGGCTAATGTGTTCGACTCATTGATTGTGAGGATAATGGTTATTGCCAAAGAAATAAAGAAATAACATATTTCAACCGAATACAATCTACACACATATTTACCAAAAAAAAATGAATAGTGTGAAAAAATCAGTCATGGCTATCGTGAATGTCTGTAGGTTGTTTTGAAAAAAAACACGACACGGTATTCCTCAACGACGTTATTTTGGGACGTTTGAATTTCTCTTCGGGTGAGAGTATTAAAGAAAACTGCAGATCAGTATACGATCACTATAAGATAAAGATCGGCGATCCGTCAATGTTTAGCACGTGTAATAGATAGTCAAGTAACAAATCCTACGTGTATGATTTATTCTACCAGTTCATATATCATTAGTTGCCAACATTGCATGGCACGTCGTAAATTACGAAAGTTGCTCCAATGATTCGCCATCAATAAGTTTTAGGGCCGTTCGGTCAAGTAGGCATGAGCAAGGATTATGATAATTAGAGGTTATGGTTATGAGCACTAATGCGTTTTGAAATATTTAGAAATAAAAAGGGGTCTTTAGCTCATCTATCATTCTTTTTTCAAATGATACTTGCTATTATGATAAAAAATTTTATTATTGTCGTTTTCATTTTCTCTCACCGCAAATGACGACGATTTTAAAACTTGATAATTTAATGAATCTCTTCGTGATTTTTGATAAGGATTTTGTTGCCAATTTGTTTCCTCATCGCTGGGTGATTACGAGAGTGAAGCATCGAAGAAATAACGTATTTTTCCACTAGGTTTCAACAATTTGTTCAAAACGAATTCAAGTAAAGCAGTGAGAAACAATTTGATGGATGTGAATTTTGAAAAATGATTTCTAAATAAGTTATTAAGCTTTTTTCTGAGAAAATTTTTCCAGCATCTTCATTCAAAAGTGCACCAGCATAATTAACAAAATAAATCTCAAATCATAATTTTAATTAGTAGAGTCTTTTTATAGGTCTCAGTGGATTTGAAGTCTCACTATTGCAATGTTATAATTTGTATTGCCTTGTCTTAGCCTTGGAGTATATTTTGTTAGACCTCAGCTTTTTTCTTTTGTTTAAACTGTGGCAGGTATTCGAAAGAAGCTTTTTATTCTTTCACTTTTTTTTCTCCTTCTTTCTTTCTTTTTTCGCTCATCAATCAGCGCAGCTTCGTCGAAAAAAAAAACGGTTTGTAGAAAGTGTGAAAATCGAACCTCAAAAATTTGCGAACAATGCCTTGTGAACGATAAACGCGCAAAAAATCTGGTTCAGAAGCAATGTAATTTTTATCTATCAAATAGCGACAGCCATCTTTACCGATGTGCAACAGATGGCTGGCTGTGTGGACTGACTGTCTACGGTATGTGCCATTGCATAACGGTGAAAATCTGGTTTTTTTTTCCTTTCTACCATCCAACACCGCCACCCGTACAACTTTCAACTTGAAGACGTTTGCAAAAACCAATTCTCCGTTTTTTGTATGCTACTGCGCTGGGAGAAACCATATATTTACTTTTTTTGCGCATATCGTCTCATTCGGCATGAATTCATAAATGTCCTTGTAGAATTCGAGGGAGATGCAAAAAAAAACATTGGGAAGCCGCATAAAAAGTGATGCGCGGTCGTAAAGGTGGTGTTTTTGCCTGCATAGGCAATCCGTCACGAGCATGGGATTTCGGTCCGAACCGTGTTTTCCTCTTCATTTTCGTTTCGTCTCTGTCCAAGGTTATTCCGAAAGTCTGATTGCGGTCGTCGGCGCCATCTTCACTCGGAGGTTCGGTTTTCGGCTGGCACATCGTTTATTTATATGATTTTTTTTCATCTTCGTGTCTGCTTTAATTACAATATCCAATGGTCTGTGCTGAAGGTGAAATCGATTTCACATGAGGGGGTACGGTAGATGAGATGGCAACCGCGGCGAATGCTCTCATCGGGGGAAATGAAGGGAGCGAGAACAAACAAAAAACACAACAACATCGTCAAACATTTCTGAATGAAATTAATTGGATTTTCTACAGTATCCGTTCATATTAAAATGATTCGAAAAATTACCAATTTCTTCATTTATCCTCTTGAGTAATGGAAGAAGTGACACGTGAAAGTGCCAATTTTAAATTCAAAAAAATTAGAGAGAATCATTATTAATCCAAAGAGATAAGTGTGCATGAATGAAGAATTGTTTTATTGTGTTTAATATTATGAGAGGAATCCAAAGTAAAATGCGAAAACAATTATAAAAGCCACTAAAATAGCATTGTTTCAACTTTTTCTATTTAAGATTAAAATAACTATTAAAGATGAACAATTTCCTGGATGACTATGATCTGAAAACTCTGTACATTTGTGACAAGATACAATTAAATCAACTTAATTTTTGTTATTTCGAGCTTTTTCTCATTTTTAAATAAAAATATGTCGCGCAATACAATTTTGCATCATCGCTGATAAATGCGAATGTTTGAATAATTTGGAAAACCCTTTATATTAATATATTTCTTAACACGCGAATTTTATATTTCAAAACTTTTTAGAAATCGGCGTTTTCAAAAGAAAATCGGACGGTAATCGTAAAGAATAAAATTATAGCCAAGTTTTGAAATAAAACAAACACAAATTGAATACCGATTCCGATTTGGAATAAAATTTTACAAGCTTGAGGGTAATTTTTCAACAAATATTTTGATATGACCTTATCAAAATGGTTTTTTGTTCTCAGATAATTAACCTTTAAGAAGTGATAAACCACCGCGAACGATTATAACTCTGGGTTCACACCACGTTTCCCACATTCTCATAAATTAGGTGAAAACGAACTGAAAGCGAATGACTATTGTTTCCCCTCGACGAAGTAATGAAGGTAGAATAAATGACGGGAACGACCTCATCACAATATCTGTTCATCCAATTTTTTATAACTCAATCATTTAAATTTTCGAAAAAATCTGCAAACCGCGAAAAAGCGAAACATGATACGAAACAATTAAGGTGTATTGAGATCGTTATTTATTCTCACAACATTTTGAATATAACAATTATGCTCATTTTAAGTTGTTTAGAAGAAAAACATTTGTTATAGATAAATATCGATTATTGTTATCGAATGGTGAACGAATCGCGAAGGAGCAAAATAATTATTTTCGGAAGAAAGCGTACAGCGTCAATATGCCAACACCGATGATTCCACCAGCAATCCACTGAAAATTGAGTTTTCCAAACAAACATAACATCTTTGAAAATTGTATAGGATTTCAATAATGAAGAAAAATTCATCATTTTTTTATTTTTTTAAACGTGTTATCAATTTTTTAACGATTTAATAATTTATTTTTTTAATAAACGAATCGGCATTATGTGTTGGATCGATTTGTCGGAACGGGGCTCGTTGGTCTTGAAAACAAGTAAATTAAGCCTTCTATCCTTTGAGGTGGTTGATTGACCGTTTTCTCATTTCTTTTCTTTTGAACTTTTTTACGAGTATCATCGGTTGTCCATCTAGTAGCTTGTCTGTTTTGATCGCTCATATCTGCGAAATTTCTTTACGACACCTTAAAACCAAGTATAAGAAGAAAAAAATTTGAAGAAACATTTACTAGAGGGCAAAAAAATGGCCAAAACAGATTACTAAATAGTTTTTTCAATTTATCAAAGATTCGTAAAAATTCAAAATTTGAAAACAAATACAAAATATCGATCTGTTTAATAGCCCGCTTTTCGGGCATTATCGGCCATTAGTAAATATTTCATGAAATTTATATCTGCTATTTGGCTTCACAGAAACTCCGCCGACACGAACAATGGGAAAATGAAATCAGAATAGACATGGGAAAATGGAAGTAAAAACGAATGCGAATTCAAGAAATGATAAACGTGAGGAATTTAAGCGCAATCCAACGGGCAAGGATTGCCCCATTTTTGGTTTAACAAAATCTAGTAAGACGAAAAACATTGTAGTTTCCAATAGTTTAAGAACACAATGCCGTTCGTTAATATACCTTTATTTATTTGCTATTCAAAAACTTTTCTTTTTTCTACATATTTATCTTTGAAAATTGTTCAGACTTGAGTAGTTTTTGCGAATTAGCTCTCTATTGAATTCGTTAGAATTTTCCAAAAAAACAAACAAAAACAAAAATTTAAATAAATAAACGATGCTATGCATTAAATCTTGTTTCTTGGAAATTCTCCAATTTTCTTTTCTTTTAAATATGCGGGGATAAATTTGAATATTTTAAAAATTTAAGAAAAGGTCAAAAAATTTTGAAAATAATAGACTGGCAAGCTTCTTAAATGAACCTCTTTCATAGCAAATGGGACGCCAGTTTTTTGTTTTTCCTCTAATCGAGGTATTGAGCGACATGCACTCCGTATTCTTATCATACCTTTTCTCGTCGGTTCCGTGTCTCGTAGTCTTCGTTTAGTTTCTGTACGCGTCGTTGTAGTTCTTCTAAAAATACTAATTTCTAAATATTGAAGTTTAAAATAATCTTGCTTTGATCTTCAATTTCTCTACTAATGTAGTCAGCACAAAAATCGGTATTGTCCGATTCTTCTGTTTTTTCGCTTTCCAATTCCTCTTGTATGTTGCCAGTAGCTTTGTTCACAAATTCCATAGCATAATCCTGAATATCAAATACGTTTATTCAAAAGTACTTCAAGAAATTCTACTTGAATTAGGCCAACGTTTACCTCTTTGAGTGGCTAAAAATGCTCCTTTTGAATTTTTAAAAATCTACTAAATAAAACTCACAGCGATGATCGATTTAAATGTATTCATTAGAATTTGGACAATGTGCAGTTTTAAACAACCTGCTTTCTGCTGAAAAGGCACGGAAATTTAAGCACGCTTATTTTGTTCTGAAAAACAAGGAATATTTATCTGCAAAGGGAAATAATGATCCAACACATTTTTTTCGATATATCATTTAACGATAGTTTCACTTACTATATTAGAAATATTGACCTTGAATGGTTAAGTATAAACTTTTTTCGGAGATTTATTGGAGCTATACGAACTTTTAACATTAAAAGAACAACCAAAGTATCTCAGCGGCAAATAATTTACGTTAAACAACATGCCTTATTAGTACGTTGCTCCGTTTGGCCCTGTGTCTCTTCTTAATGCTCTCTATTCTTTGTCTTCAACAATTGTTGTAGATTTACGGCATTCTCTGACTCACTGTGCTCTCTTGCCGTCGCGTTATTTCGGTCGTTCGCATTCAGTGTTTGCGGCCCTCTTATTATTCTCGTTGGAAATGCCGAAAGAAATAGGAATCGAAAAGGTAAATATTATCGATTAAATATTTAAATTATTTATCTCTGTTTGAATATTCATTTTATTGCCAGGTAATTCAAATCAACGAAAATGAATTTTGGAGCGATATCAAGGATGAATATATTCAAAAGCTGGCCAATACTGATCCGGCCGAGGTTTATCCTAGTTTGAATCCAGGTTTGGTTTTTTTCATAAATCGCATATGATTGAAAAACCAGTAATTCATTTGAAAATGTACTAATGAGTTAAAATTTGAAAGTTACTCATATTTCCTTTTATAAACATTTTCTTTTTTAATTACGTAAAAGGTTCAAAATATAGAAAACCGTGATATTTTATGCTACAAATTCGTTTACACTTTATGAAGGTTGTGCTAGAAATATTGACAATATTTAAGATTATTTCTTATACTTAAAATACGAATTGGTCTATCTGAAAATGTTCATCATTCGAGTTGAATTTTAAAGGGCCAACGAATGAAGATGGAAGCGTGAATTTTGAATGTCATTGTGTTGGTCATCTAGTGGCAAGTCCTTGTGGATATGAATTCAGAGAGGCCATCACTTGTCAAAAACAATCAACCGATGAGGAAATGGAAAATGGGGCATGTGGTCCTCAATTAATGGCTTTTATGGAATGTGCAATGAAGACCCAATGTTTCAAAAGTACGGTTATCTATTTTCGTTGAAAATTACGATGTTTACAGCAAACGACTCAAACTCAAATGATACAGCTGAAAAGTGATATGATTTACACGACAATTCTAGGCTCTAGTAGATTGTTTTTGTTTTGCCTTTTATTCGTCGGGTGAATCCATAAATCTCTCGTTTTCTCGTGTTTTATGTTATCTTTTTTGACTATGGCTTTATAATCCGTTATCAACTACCTTTCTATGTGCAAATATTCGAAATGCTGATTGTTCTCATACAGGCCGAGGATGCAAATGCAAATACCAGATCATCTCTCCGTTACGGGAGTCGACATAAGGGCAATTGAGCCATTTAACAATCTGGTTTGTGAACTTTTCAATAAAAAAATTATTATTCGACATTTTGGATGACACGAATCGAAGCAGCGCGAAGTGCCTTAATTCAACAGATGAGCGTCCCAGAACATATTTCAGTCAGTGGCGAAGGGAAGTTGGTAATGCCGGAAGAAAAGCAGTTTTGTCAATCAGTATGTTTGATGCTGAAATGGTAGAAATTAAATAATTCAGACGCTGAAAATGGAAGTTCCCACTAAATTGCGAATTTGCGATTTGAAGACGGATTCACAACAAAAAGTCCAAGAAGAAAAAGTATGTTTCGAAATTTTTAAAATATTATACATACATATAAAAAATGTTGCATAAATATAAATATTATATATAAAATGCAATTTTAGTAAAATTCTGTTGATGACTGACTCAATTTAGCATCAAATTAATTTTCTTCTAATTTTTATAAATAGAATTAATAAAATGCTTATTGTAATCCCGTTTTTACAACGATAAAATGTAAACAACCTTTCATAAAATTACTCAATTTCAGGTTCTTCGAGATTCACTCTCCTCAAATATTGAAAATCCCTACGAAGAGGCATTGGTTTTACGCAAACGAGTTGGTATGTGATTTTTATATCAACATTTTATTTGTCGATTTTCAGTTGTTCTTGCGGCAAAGATCAAGCAAATGGAACAAAAAATGGTTTACCAGAAACGAAGAGAGCGATTACTACTAGTCGCGTTGATCGGAGCATGTGTGACTATGGCTTGGAACATAATGCGTCGTTGACGAAAAATAACAAACTTGAGAATGTATATAACGAAAAAAGCGAGAATTTGTTGTATTAAAATGTAAATAACATTGTAAAACAATCTTTCGACCCCCACGAGTACAAACATCAAATTTGTAACCTAAAACTGTTATTAATTTGCATGCAAGCATTTAAAAACGAATTCTAGTTATTTCTGGCATTTATGCATTCTATGGTCACAATTGAAAGTCAGTTTTTATCGTAATAAAATATTTTTTGCGAAATATTATTTATGCACATTCCAAACAACAATATTACAAATTTGAAACAATTTTATTCGCTCTCCCACGTGGAAGGGATTTCAGTTAAATAGCGCGTCGTCAGAGTTTTGCTATTGTTCGCTTTTCTTTTCCTCAGCCATAGGAAAATCCATGCAAGTGTTGATATAACCTAAATTTAGTTTTGGAATTCTACCATTATAATTATTTTTCTTACAGATATCACGAGAAATGAGATTCCGACGCCTAAGATGATTGCTGGAATGGTCACTATGCTAAATTTAAGATATGAAATTGCATAATCTCTAGGTTCAATAGAAATGTTCAACCAAAAAGAGGGAATAATCGAGTTTGGAGAATTGCTCATGGTTCTGGAACAAAAATAATATTATTTTTGAAGAGAGGATGGACTTACGTGAAAATCACCGAATTGAAAATTGGAATTGAGAGTTGCATTCGAAAGGAGGCATCGACTGTACTACCCGTCGTCTTAAAAATAAAACTTCATTGAGTCACAGGTCAAATTTTTTACGGGATTGATCTTGAAATGCCCAGTTTCATGTTTTTCTTTTTGAGGATGGAGTCCACCGATCGAGTTTGTGACTTCTGCCGGCGAGGAATAAAAATGAGGAGGTGATAGAAAAGCGCCAAATGGAACTTCAATGATTTGTCCTGGTAAATGAAAATCATTAGGCAAATTTCGAATTAAAATTTTCAGTCTCACCTGGCAAACATCTCTGGGGAACCATTCCTGGCGGAAGGAGATAAGTTCCATTAATAAATGAACCATCGCAGCAACTATGGCAAAAATTTTCGTATTGATTACAATCAATTTGAGCACAGTTTCCGTTGTCTTTCTTTTTGTGATTCGGACCACAAGGCCAATTTGGGAAATAATTCTAGACAACAATTTTTCCAACTTGTGAAAATAAACGTTATAAAAAAACATACAACTTTTTCGTTGTTTTCGTATCGATATCCAGGGTGTTTGAAAGTGTCATAATTATCGTCATTCATTTTGAAATCCATTACTGGTATACCATTTGACGTGCCACTTTGACCAGAATAACTAAGCGAATAGGTTCTTTAATTTATTCTATAATTAAATTGTCAATTTTAAATTAATGCTATACCGGCAAGCAAATGATTGAAATTGTTTCAATTTGTCTGATTTTTTAAGTCCTGGTTTCTGGAAACTACCGTCTCCGCTATTTCTAAGGTCCCTAGTCTCTTCGGAATTCCACCATGGTAGATGAGTTCTTCCTAGCCACGTTTGAATAAGCGCAGTGCTAAAGGCGAAGATTGTCCTAATTGTTCAAAAAATTCTCACTTTTCCACTTTATCTTTTCCAGTTTTAGCAGTATAATTTCCATCACAAGTGTGATTATACTGCAAAATTTCATTATCAATTCAATTTTTCAAAAATCAGACCTCTGGGAAAAATCCTCCTGTAACAACTTGCGGAATTTCCAATGGATTTCCGAGAAAACTGAGAACCATCTGAAATTGGTTTCAAATTATTGTTGTACCAAAACGCAAATCTTCACCTTAGCTAATTGACTGTTAATTAGATTAATAATGGGATCAGAATATCCAACAAAAAGTGTTCCCGAACCAGAAATTGTCCTAGAATGAAATTGTTATTCTTATTTAGTGTCCAATTCTAACCTTAAAGGTACTTCGCCTGTTATAAGTGTTAATAAATCCATTCCTAAGTTAAGAATAGGTACATTTGCTTGATTGATTTGTATGTACACCACACTCTGTGAAAATCGACGGTTTTTTTTGTCTGTTTTGCTTTTTATACCATATATGCTGTATTTGGGGTGATTATATTGTCATCGAAATTGCAATCTCGACAGGATTTTGATTTATTAAAAATCTAGAACTGCAATATTTCAAAAAAGTTTCGAATGAGCGATTTACCCAAGTTTTATTGTTCTGATAAAATACTTCTTTATCGTCATTGCGGAATTCGATGAAATCCTTGAATTCCGTTTCGCTGAAAAGTGCGGCAGGATTATAATTTGTGCTTATAATACTCTTATCAAAACGAAAATTTGGTACAGGAAATGCAAATGATTGATGTATCACCAAAATACATTATGTTTTTGAATGGCGCCACCAAAACTATGCGTTATCGTCACATTAACTAAACCGTCTTTGGCGATTCGTTATCAGCAATATGGAAATCTGCGACTACTGACATAAGTATCAATCTTACGCGTAGGTATACGGTCCGACATCAATGACATTTGGTTTGGCCCCATAATAGAGCACTTCATCCGGATTGGTGACATTGAATAGATAAAATTCGAAATATTGAGTCGCAGGTAGCCGAGACCAAAAATATGTACCCGTTGGATATTGACCGTCGTATTTTCTTCTGAAAAATAACCGACAATTTTTGATTTTATTCGAACAAAATCATTAAAAACTTATATTTACGGGTCCAATTAAATAATTTGCACTTTGATTTTCAATTATAAACACGTTCACCTAATCTAAATTATCAAAAATAGGCATTAGTGTCAATATCTTACATATTAGTGGAAAATACAGTTTTTGTCCGGTAATCGGAAATTTTAATCTCATCGGTCAAATTTTTCTGATTTTTTTCGCGAAGGAAATTTTTTGTGAGAATGATTTTAAAAAAATGAAAATAAAATCCTCATTCTCTCTATCTTTTGTTATAATGTTTTTTTTTGTTTGATCAAAAAGTTTTTGCAAGTTTTTGCAGTTCAAGATTTTGAATGTATCTTGAGGAAACTGGAATGAAATAAGCAAAGACAAACTTACTGTATATATACTTGTGAGTTGACGATTTGTTGGAAGATTGCTAATGGGAATGGGATGAGCAAAAAAATACCAATACAGAATAATACAAGCAGTACAAAAGCCAAAGCGAGGACAGAAAGTAGGCGCATGGCTCGATGAATATTGCGACTGCTCTGTACTTATCCTTATCTCCCACTTCCACGCTTTGCCACAAGGAATGCAAGTTTCTCTGTCGCTCTCTCTTGTTTCAATGGTCAGTCGAACTGTAGATGCAAAAATGTGAAATTCGGGTAATGGGTTTTACACCGTTTTTGGTGTGACAATTATTCTTCGCGTTTTTATTGCTCTAATCGCAATTGATAAAGTGTTTCAAAGTGGGAAAACAACACGTGGTTGCACTCAAAACAAAAATAATCAAAATATGGAATAAAGGGAAACCAGACAGTAATGGCAACACGTTACAATTGGAAATGAACTAATTTTGTTTTCTGGAAACACAGTTCATGAAAAATTGCGTCAAGTTTTGATAACGGTAAATTGAATGGATAATTGATTTGACATCAGTTGTTTCATTAAAACTGGTGCAACCCTGAATATAAGCAGTGAAACACTGACCTGTTGCACAACAATTTAATATTACTTTCAAACAATCCCTTAAATTTCTCCTGAGCCGAAGTAAATCGAAATCAGGTCATAATCAATTTTTTTTAATCTGAAATCTTTTTTTACTTTTCGAACTTATCTGACGGCAAAGTTTTGAATTTACCAATTTTCTTAAAATTTTTGCTGACTTTTGGTATCTTATTCAATTGAAAAATTTGACCTGATTATATGCATAGTGTATGATAAAATTAATTATGTTATCAGTTTCCGCATCACTCCATAAACGGCAGGTTTGTTTGGCAAAAGGATCTCTAAATCAAGAAGCATAAAATGCACATGGAGTTACATTCGATATCAGTTGTTTTCAAAATTGTCAGTGATTTTGCACTTTACAATGCTACACTGCAGTTTGAGGAATTTTAAGTTTGACCATACACAATAATTCCTGTCTACCGACTATGTCCGGAGTAGCGAAACTCTATATGTGAGGCTGTTTTGTACGTCCGATCGTCTTCCGGAAACAAGAATTTCTCTGTTCATATTTTCCTTTACTCTAATAGTTCAGAGATTGCCTGATTCGATAAGATTCTTGACAATAATCATTTTTGCTGATAGCGGCGCCACGAGGAAAGTGTTTTCATAGTCAAGTTTGAACCATTTATAGAGACGTACAACGATTAAAAATTAGACGATAAACTGAAGCATTTTCTCCGCCATTAAACCGGAGTCTCGCAATACAAACGCATGTTCAATTCCAGAATCGTCAATAATAACGTGTCCACGCGACATTTTTTTCTTCATATTCTCGCCTGAAACGAAAAAAAAGAAATGAGAAAACACATGGGAAAACGAGAAAACCAAGAACAAGAGGACACCATCCATCATTTGTGCCATAATAAAAATAAATCATCTCTTTGTGAAACAGTAAATTCTCGTCCAAAGGTCCCAGCTGAATACATTTAATATGAATTAATCATATCAATTAATTAAAATATACATTTTCCAATTCATCATTGAACAATCGAATGATATTCCGAAAAATGTGCATATGCATTATTTCACTTATAGCGTTGAGAATTTCTGGTGATGTCTGCAAAATTTCCATCTCTCAAATATGCCTTCAATTAATTTCTGCACTCTGTCATGCGTCAAATTAACCCGTATCAGCCATCTTTTTGTTCTTTCAGGAAGAACATCAAGCCAGAATGAAATTGACTTCGCTAGCCAGTCATTCGTTGTCAATGTCTAAACATTTGATTTATTTTTTTTTTCTCTTCACAGATGTTTACGCTTATAACTTTCTTTAATCGAATGCCGTGGGGACTTTCGGAGACTCTTTCAAGCCGTGGAAACAAGCAAACTGATTTTTTGAGGTTGAAGTCGTCTTTAATATACGGCAAAATACTATAAAATTTATACGATGTTCAGCAGCTTCCGAAGTGTCATACCTCAATAGCATGTACGAGCCGATGCTGTGGCCGATCATATACACACGGAGCCCTCGAGGGAGATATTCTCTTGCAAAGTCCAGCTTATGTTGGACTTGGTCGCTCAGTGAAAATCTTTCTAAATGGTTAGTGAAATTGGTCATTGTGAAAAGTAGGAAAATAATTAACCATCGAACTTTTGCCCTGCATCGTCTCTGAGAAGCGGAGGTAAAAGAACATGATTCAAATTTGAAATCGTGTAGAATAAATACTGCAGTTTTCGGTCACCTAGTCGCTCTTCTCTAGCTACTAGATTACGAACTAATCTTCGTCCAAACTCGACATAAAGTCCGTCATTTCCGGGGTTACCTAGAAAAAAACAATAAGTGTCTCGGAACATTTTTAAGGAAACGCGTTCCAAAAAAATACTACCTGGGATAAAAAATATGACCACTGTTGTCGTTTTCACCTTTGTTTTCTTTTTCTAGATCTTCCGATGATAGGGAACAACCGATAACCTTATAAAGGAATTTGAAAAAAAAACGACTACATATATAGAAACATACCGACATTCGAGTCCATTTACCACTTACTGAAACCCATGACTCTTTTCGATGAATGTCGACCATGTTGACAGAACCGCGAACGGTTCGATCACAAACGGGAATCATGATTCGAAAAGTTAAAATGATTGTTGTCAATTTTAGGACAAAGAGGAATTCCGTGGAAAAACGAGAAAAGCCAACCGGTCCCCAGTGTCAGACAGCTTTCCATAAATCTTGATATTCACTTGGGGCCAAATCCTCATTTTGTGAATGACGAAAGTGACCAAACATTACTGAACAATTTATGTGTGTTTGAAGTTTATTTCACAATGCAGAAAAATCAAAAAAAAATTCTTCGAATTGAATAAGTACTACAGATTTCAATATTGATGTATGGGGGAAATGACAGTTGGTATGTATGTTGTGGATAAGGAATCGACCCTGAGATTCAAGTAAATATATTATATATCTTAAGACCAGTGAATTGGAGTGATACAGTTGGACGAAGCACTGCAGTTCGACAAATCGGTAAACTCTGTGATAATTATTTTTTTTTCAATATAGGGTATATTATATGTAAAAACCTTTTGAAAATGGTAGGTAGTACGGTTGCGGAACCATTGGAAGGCATGGATGAGTAATAGTCATAGGCTGTGATGGAGGTGGGGCTAAAAAATTTGATTTGTTTTTGAAAATGTGAACATCGCTATTACGAGGGGGTGGATTCATTGGTGGCATATTAACAGTCGTCAGACCATTGCTACTTCGCCATAGGTTAAAAGAAGTTTGGAGTCCGTAACCGCTTCTTTCGTCAAAAATCGAATGCCCGAAGAGTTTTCCACCATTTCTTTTCATCTGTATTTAAGAAAAAAAAACATTTAGCTATCAATTTTTGATGAATACCTCATCGAGAAAGCAAATATAATCTGTGGCAATTCTGAGAGTGTGAATTTTGCTCATTTTGTCCGATGGCATCGAGGGAATCAATTTGCGAAGTGTCGAAAATGCGTCATTGAGCTCCTAAAGAACGAAACTAGTGATTTATTAGTAACATTGCGAGGTGTGGTTAGCGAAAGCTTTTCTCTGTGTGCTTTTCACCTTTCTTCTCCGCCCTCACCACATTTACGATTTATGACGCAATTATAAGAGTTCGATGTGTGAATTCTCACATTATGGCTGGGTAATTGGATATCAAATTACGGCTCGTCATTCGCGAACAGCGTTTATGACAGTCTAGCAACAGATCGGCTAGCATAAACAATTTGTTCTCGGGCATCCAACTTAACAATAAACAATTATTCATTAATGTTATTAAATTTATCTACGCCATCTTCAGAGAACGTTTTGACGAAATGCGACATAAAGAAATACCATTACAATGAGTTGAATATGACAAAATTCCAAACGCGATATAAAGATTTCCTCTATATATGCCTCCTGACTGTCAAAAATGTCTTTTTTCCATTAAAAAATTCGCTCTTTGTACATTCGTATATAGGTAAAAACGAGTTCTGTCAAAAAAATATCCCCTCATAAGAAAATAATGAATGAAAATGATTTTCACGTTTGACGTAAATTTTCTGATGAAAAACGGGAGCATGATTAAAATTTAGAATAGGCACCAGTTATTAAAAGAACCATAGTTTGAAAAAAATTTCAGTTTCATTTATTTTCCAAAGCGCTATAATTTCTAACTATTTCATCAGATATGTCATAATAAAAATGCATTATTGCCGTTTTCAAATAATACTTCTGTATTCGCTTTATTTTTGTTAAGTTGAAGAAGTCTTCTTGATGGGACCCCTTTATTTTTGTAAATCTTGCACATTATTTAAATATTTTTTCGACGTTTCGATCATTCGATCATCATCAGGGGAAGTCAATTTGTCTACAAAATAATAAGTATTAGATAGGGCAGAAAAGAAATAAACGGAGAGAGTTAAGTTATAAGAATCAATCAAAAACATAAGAAACACATCAAAAACCAAAACAATGTCCAATCCGAAACACTATAAATATGTAAGTCAGCGTTAATGTACGGATGTTAGTCCACCAAGAAGATTTCTTCAACTTAACAATAATCCACACGATTCACTTAAAACACATCGCTCCACAACCAACAAAACCCCTTTCTTTTTAATTTAATTTGTTTTCTCAATTTCTGATGACGATCATCTCATTCGGATGTTTAGAAATCTCGCTCAAATTCCCGACAACCGCCCACTTTTTGCTTATTTCCGCAATCGCAATAAAAATGCGGCTCGCTGAAAGTGTGGATGACGAGTATACGGTAGGCAGAGAGCGGCGAAATAGCATTGAAATTCTCAAGCCGACGTTCGTTCGGTAATAAATGCTTTCGGTTGCGACATCTGGAGATGATTTCCGAAATAGTTTATGAGAATCTGAGACGCAGTGTACACGGCTCGCAGTTCGCCCAAATGCTATGGAACCTTTCCAATAGTTTGATTTCGTTTTATCGAAAAGTTTCAAAGTAAATAAAAAATTGAAAATTGTGAATGTTAACATTGGATGCAGATATGAATTTAAAATGACTTTGTGATTTTTTAAAGACAATTGTCAAGATTAATTAACAAAAAGAATTTAAATCTTAAATATTGAAAACAAAATTTACAATGAGACATTTTAGCAAATTATGTTGGAAATCGCTTATTATAATGTACAATAATACTGCAACTAAAATCCTAAAAATTCTCAAAAGGATAATATTAAGAAACGAAATAATAACAAACCTTTGTTCGTTGGCGTTCGCGACGATTTGCACAGGCTCGCTGAACAACGTTGTCTTCATCGGATTTCGATCCTTTACCACGGTCAATCTTCTTCCGTGCCACCATTCCGCTTCTGTTTCGCAAGTTTATATTAGCACAAAACACAGATGTTCTGAGGTACAGCACCAAGTGAACGTCTGAAGCGAGTTGGTGCGCTCTTCACACTGATCGGACTGGGTGTGTCGCCTCTCCAACTTTTACACTATTTCATGGCTGCTCCGATCCGAGGGGCGGAGTGCACCGTATTTATGCTCTTTGTTCCGTACTTCCCATGTTGAAATGACGGGTTATTGTGGAACACTGGGCAGTTCGAAGATATGAACATTTGTCAACTTTTCAAATTTCGGGAATTTTTTAGAGTTAGGAAACCTTGTTTTATCTGAAAACAAGTTTTAAAAGTTTATATGCCTTTCGATCAGAAATGATGCCAATGAATATGAGATTCTAATCTTGAAATTCTCAAAATAGTCTGCAACCAGAAAAAATTAAATATTAAAAAATTTGAAATAGAAGGTATTAATAAGTTTTAAATATAAAGTGAACCAGTGGAAACTGAGGAAAATTAGGAAAACTTGCTTCTGACAGGAGCATGTGGAAAAATAACGATTGATTAACGTTATAATTGGTTTAAAGTTTTTTTTTCCGAATTTTAGCTCTTACTGTTTCAAATTCTGATAAATCTTATAAGTCAAATTTATCAATAATACCTTATGAATTTTTATTTTTTTTTGAAAATTTTCGGAATGAGGACGTTTGAAAAAAACCATTGTATTATTGATTTTACTCTGGGTTTTTTTTTACAGGAGAAAGCACACATATATGTATGAGTCAGAGATGATATATCTTAAAGAAGTCATAAATTCAAAAAGAAACAGGTTAGGGATCGTTTTATTCTGCAATTTTTATAGGGTTTTTTCTTATAAATGAGAAAAAAATTGGAATATAGAAATGCAAATTTTTCAAGGAGATTGATTACGCAAAGCATTTCCAAATTAAAACCATATAGATATTTTCAGAAAATTAGATATTTTTTTACAATTCGAACGAATTGTAAGGAAAATATACTTTGCTCTTCTTTATAGTCGTATTATCTTTCAAAAATGCGTGTGTCGTAAACTATTTAAAACAATTCACATATTATTTTTTTACATTACTATTTATTCGCCCACTTAATTATACAAAAATAATTAAAATTTAACATAAAACCAAAAAGAAATCAGATCAATATTATGTATGGGAAACAATTATAATTGGTTTTCATCAATTTTTGGGAGGGACGGCGGATCGCACGAAAACTCTTCCTTTCCGGCGGCGTTCACGCGACCAGTCACAACAAAATGAAAGAACGTTTTGTTACGATGGTTAAGAATAAGCATGGTTGCTGAGCACTTTGCGTTCTTGCGCATGATCTGTACCGCTTTTGGGTAAAGTGCAGCACGAGCGAAATTGCCACTGTGTGGGACTCTGTAACAAATATATATATATGCATATTTTTTTCAATTTTGCCTTTTCTAAAACATATCTAGAGATTTTCGAAATGTTTTTCTTTCTTTACTATCATTTTTCTCATTTTAATTAAATCCCTTAAGCATGCTTTCTAAAATAACACGACTTACGAATCTAGGAGCTCCTTACTCCATGTCGTATAATTGATGCCACTCAGAATTTCGTTTCGCGAAAAGTTCGTGCTGCTTCCCAGTGTCAAGTAAAGAAAGTCGTCCTCTCCGTCAACCCATCGCTAAAAAAATAATCAAATCAAATGTCGGCAAATCATTAATTTTTAATAATCCTCACCTTAATAAAAGTGCAAAGACCTTCATTGGTGATGCCATAAGAAAAGAAAAACATTTTAGTTGCTTTCAAATTCAGAAACAGCTCATCAGTAAAGTGTGTATAATGGAGCATTCTCAGATGTGGTATTGTTGAAATCTGAATATTGATGAAATAAGTAATTGAATGATTGTAAATTAAAAAACCGGTTCAGAAGAAAGAAATTCAACTGGCATTGATTTTGACGGTGGGAGATTTGTCTCGATTAAATTGTAGGAAGGCTCAAAACAGGCCATCACCGTCTTCAAGGGGCCTTCCGTTGTCGAATAAATAATCAATTGATCCGTTTTGAGAAGCCGGCTCACGGCGAGATCATGTGTAACCTGAAAATAAATAAATAATCTAATAATGAAAATGTGCATTAATTTACTAACAACAAAAATACATTTGCGGACGCGTGTGGTACTTCTTCGAAGAGTTGTCGTGAAATACTTCCACGCAAATCTGCGACATTTTACATTTTTCACGTATACCACAAATTCGTTTCCATCGAATTTGTGCTTCACTTCTACGTGTTTTCTAACTTGTTTGAATCGAATGAAATGCTTATCAAAAGAGATCAATACACGGCGCGGCTGTAAGTAAACTTATTTAAAAACGAATATCAAACATTTTTCGAAGTTTACCTGATGGCAGTTGTAAAACGCTTCACCGATAGTCATTGGAGTTGCTTTTTCCAAAGCTTTCAGACCAGGCGTACAATACCCTATTGACGATCTATAAATGAGATATTAATTATCATAACATGAAAATGGTTTTTTTGAAAAAACAACCTAGTGGTGAAGTCCAGTTTTGCAATAACATTTTGCTGGAGAAACGGTGGAAGTGAACCCCACTTAGGGAAAGACATAGCTCCTTTAATTGTCAATTAAAAACCATTCATAAATTATATAGAAAAATTAGGTAAAAATGGGTTTAAAAAATACCCATCGATGACAAACATAAAAAATTCTGATAAAACTTTATACTTGGCAAATAAAATAAATAAATTAGAAAAATGTAAATTGTAATGCCAAACCGGCGCGGCAACCCGGATTTACTCAACACAAACCCGCACTATTGTAAATCTTGAATACACACAAACACTACTAATAAATTATAATTACTAGCAGATGAATGATACAATCATTTGCTCAAAATTACTATCTTGCTGGTAGTTCTTTCAGTGCCTGTTGGAAGCGTGGCTCATTCGTGAGTGTATAATATATTTCCATTAGCTGGTGATTTTTTGGGTGCACCTCATTGTCCCATTTACTCTTGATATTTTTAGGCAAACTGAAACAAATATTGGAAATTGTGATTTAGCAGTGAACATACTCGTTAAATATATCCGGAAGATCGGGGTGGAACTTATTGTAGATCACTTTGAACGTCTCAATGGACTGAATGAATTCGAACCAATTGCCAACGAATATCTCTTTTGCCTTGAATATAAACTCTATACTCAATCATCAACTCAGTTAATTCATACCATTTCAGCAGTGCAGTTTTCGATTATATAACGAATGGCGGTGTTCGTTGTATAATATCTTGGATTCATATCGCAGATATGAAGCAAAAGCAATCCGTATTTCACGAATCCTTCTTCACCTTTTTCTCTAGCATGAATCATAATGGAATTCCGCAGAATACGTGTTGCCACATCGAAGATATACTCGGTATAAACGAACATCGGTTGTCTTTTGATCTGAAATATATCAACCGCTGAAAAAATTTTGAACGCGAACTTTTACCCTCCAGTCCAAGTAATCGCAACCGATATCCTCATAATGTTTTAGGCAATATTCAAAAATTTCCTTCCAGAGTTGATAGACCATACCAGCATTGATTGTCTGAAATATGCATTCTTTAAATTGTATTCAACAAATACTTACTCTGGCATAGTGCAACATCAAGTTCAACTTCAGGCATAAAATCGATCGGTCATCTTTAATCTCTCGCAAGTAGTAATTTATCATCTCAATGAGTCCCTCATCTCTGTTGACGTGAAGCAATGCAATAGCAACATACTGTGAGTATTCGTCTTCTTCTGAAATCCAGAAACAAACATTGACTCGAAAAAAATGCCGGTGACTGCAACAGCGAAAAATTAGAAGCCATGCAAACGCGAAGCGAGCAGTAAAATTAGGCGCGTCGCGGTCGGCGTGGCGCGGCGCGGTCAATTTAATGCTTCAATAAAGAAAACCCTGAAGTTATTCAGTTTAGACTGATTTTACTGAGATATAAATCAACGAAAGTGTAATCATACGTAGAAATTTTGAGAATAGAATTAACAGAAATATTTGAAGTGTTGAGCATCACTTTTTTTTAAAGTTATTTGATACCGACTCACCAATAACATTTGGTATTGACTTTGGATGACCAAGCAGATCATTCAATCTTGCGAAAACATCCAGCAAATCACTGAAAACGTATTTGAATACGGGTTCAGCGCCGAGTTCCTTTTGCATATCAAGAAACATGTCAGTTCTTTCGTTCTTATATTCATCGAACAAATCTTCGTGAAAGTCATCTGTACAGCGATCGTCGAAAAATTGGTCCCATACCATTACATGCCTCTCTAAATATGCCTGAGGTAAGGAGAAATTTTTATTAAAAAAAACTTACGTCCTTTCACGTGAAATATTCCAATACGGAAATAACAGGCAATGAATGTTGAGAAAACATCGCTGTGCTCGGGAAGTTTGAAATCTTTCACGTTTTTGAAAAAATTCTCAATTGGCGATGGCTGATGTCTGCAAAATATTTAAATGTTTTTGCCTATTATAACAGAAAATATGTTATACCTGCTGAGAAGTTTTGTATAAACATCATTGGCGATTTTTTGAGTCAAACTCACAAATCTTGCTTGCGCCTTTTCATAACGAGGACGACCAAGTCTTAAATGAAAGTAGGACTATTGGAGTATAAAAAGTATTTTGGGAATTTATTCGTTATTGTTTTATTTTTCAAATATTTAGTAGCTGTTCATTTGAATAATACAATACGAGCATTATTTCGGTACTACGGAAAATGACTAGCTAAAACGTTTTTGAACAAGCTTCACATTACAATGTATTTACCCTTCAGCCATCGATGCCTCCAAACATTTTTTATAATGACTCGAAATGAAGCGAACAGTAACTTTCGACACTTCATCGTATCCAATAATACCCTCTTGAAAATCCCTTATAGAGTATACCATGAAAAGATCTGAAAATATGTTAACGTGTTACAGAAAAAAGAAAAATATGTACCTATAAATGGTGGAAAATTCTCGCACTCTGCCAACGAAATATAGGCTTTTTTCTGCAATTAATGTTTTTTATTTGATCGTCCGAGAATATACTTAATTTTTTTTTGCTTTTTGAAGCTGTTATAAGCGGGCTGAAGTTTTTTTTCTAGTTTTTTGGAACGCACTATTATTTGTTTAAGAAAACGTAATAATCTCCATCCAGATTGCAGAAATAATTTTAAAGCGTTCAAAAAATTTCAAAAGCACAATGGCCAGATTTTATGAAGTACCACAGTTTCTACTGAATCGCTGCAGGAATCATGATCTTTTACTATATACGCTTCTAACTGTAATTAATTTTTTTTAATCCTAATTTTTCTATTATCTATAAATTTTATTTGTATTCCTGTTTTTTTAGTATTGTTAAAGGCGCATATAAGAAAATGATACGACTTTTGCAGAAATTAAAAATAATACTAATAAAAAAACTAGTAAGTAACGAAGTAAAGTAATATAATTACCATCAATCTTCTATTTCCATATGTGTCCATAAGATAAAATGAAGAGTATATTTTAGCTTTCAGATGCGGATATTTTACAATCGTTTCTTCAAGAAGTGTGCTCAAATCGTGAGCATCTCGTGATTGAAATGCGTCTAAAAGAAAATTATTCAATTTTGAAAGTTCTCTTGAAAATCACTTCTGAAATATCGAATATTCGCCATATCTGTTTGTTCAGTAATGTATTCTGCACAATATGCCACAAAACTAGGCCAGAAATCCGATGGATTTGATTCAATTCTATAAGAAGTTCATAGAAAAAAAATGAAAATGTTTCAGAAATGTGAAATACCCAAAAAGGAAGAATGAGCGCAGATCTGATTGATCACCTAGTTTTGCAAGAACGTGGCATTCCAGATGCTAAAAAATCGAATTTATCTCATTGGCTTTCGAAATCGAGCGTACATCTAAAACTTGATTGGAAAATACTCCGAAATATCGAACTCTCGCAAAATAACATCGAGATCTTCCTTCTGTGAATCCTTTCGATTCAAGCAAATAATTTCGTAGCTCTGAAATTGGAGGCATTTGAATTGTGTTGGATTGTTTCAATGAAATATGCTCCGCAAAACAAGTATGATACTATAATTCGTTTTATTTTAGCTATCAAAAAAAATCTTAAAAATATATAATTAATTACCTTCTACGGTCTTGAAGAAAAACTCGTTATTGGCGAATTCATCGTTATCGTCACGTTTTGGAAGCCAAATTGCATCCGACGGTTCGTAATATGTCAAAAAACCGTTTTCATCACACATACTGCAAAAATTTCGTTAAATACTTTAAATTTATGGAAAAATACCCCATAGTTTGCTCCATTTCGATCAAATGCGACTAACAAAAATGACACAAATCAAAAATAAAAACACCGTTAATAAACAGAGGGCAACGTAAAACCGCAGTGTCGTTGTGAATGTGGTGTCCCAGTTCCACTGTTAACCAAAATTCGTGCTAACAGTTGTTTGCCGCTGAAAATATAAGTAAGAAAACACAACCAAGAAAAGAGATTGAGAGGCACATTTAAATGACAAAAATAAAAAATAAATAGACAATAAGAGAGAAAGTATGAATCACACTTGCAAAAAATGTGCGTGGACCACAAACACAGGTCACTTGGCACCTTTTACTTCATAATGAGCGTCTGTGAGGTGTCAATTTTATATGCACTTTGATCGTTTCTATGTATACTTTAGTTTGTTTTCTAATAATTAAGCCTCTTGTTTTCCATAAAAATACAATACATTTCGAAGTGGATTCAAATTCCAACTTCTATTCGAGCTAGTCGAATCATTAAATTATTAATAAAGTGAGGTAAAAAGTCCATAATCAACAAATTAATTACTTTTATTGTTTTCAAATAACCAAAAATAAAATGTTCAATAAAAATTAAATATTGTGAGACAGAGCATTTAATGATTGAATGCATAAAAATTAATGTCAGATATTTATCGCATCGCGACAAGATATCTTTCTCAATCTTTCGCACTTCATCCTCTTCAATATTTAAAACGTTCAACATTTCTATTTTCACGTAGAGTAATGCGTCGAAAACCAGAATTATCTTTATTTCCCAATATTTTCATTTAATCCCAAATCACGATAAATAAAAAGTGTGTTTTCTTCTTTTATATAGAAGAATTCACAATTTTCAAGTTTAATATAACATTCTATAAATTAGTATCTCGGGTTCACTGGAATTACAGTGAATCTTCCTTGTTCATTCTTCAGCTCTTTGTAATATGAAAGAATTTCCGCATTCAGATAAACCACAACTATTTGATCTGAAAAATGACTTTTTTTTTGAGCGGTGCGCTGATTCGATGAACTTACAAAAAACCATAAGTACTTGAAAAACGAGCATTGTAATTAAATAGAATTTCCAACGCCAGTCGTCGAACATATTTAGTGCTGAAAATAAAAATTGTTTTGACATACAATAAATTGTTAATTACTGTTGAGGACATAGCATAGGCAGAAAATTGCTCCAATGAAAACGAGAACACATAGAGAAACCTGAAAAAATATTAAAATGTGTTAATTCAAAAGCTTAACCGAAAATCCGAAAGCAATTTTCAGAGATGTAATTGATTTGTGATAAAGGGCTGCAAGAACCACAAGATTGGAAATAATCTGAAACGCATTGATATTTTGAAGCTAGAATGTTCTGAATTAGACTAGTTTTCATTAGGACGTACCGCAACTGACAGAATTAAAATGAATACTATTTTTGGCTCGTAGACAGATTGAAATATTAAAGCCAGAATAGAGTAGATGAGACCAACAGTGCATAAAACTGCAAGAATTGTCTGAAAAGAAATAAAAATAATTAGCAATAAATAAAAAAGGTACTCTAGCGTCCGCATAACAGAATATAGGTTTAACAAGCTGAAAAATTTCGAATTTGACTTTTTTTCTATCGTACTAACAAACCACTAGTCTTGAATGAAATTGATGGTCAGTTCGATTACGTTTATGATTTCCTGTAACTTCAATCCTGCACGGTTCAACATTTTGCCGTGTCATTGTGGTACGATGAACGTCTGTAGTAGAAAGAAGCTACAACAAGTACAATAATGAAAACTACCTGAGCGAAAATATTTTTCCATGTTCGCATGTAACACAAATGCGAAGAATGACAAGCATACGATACTATAACTCGAAATGGACAATAGCTTCCAGGGTGACTCAAACGCGTCGTACAAATTCTATTCAATTATACAACATTTCTAATGCCAAAAAAAATTGAATGGAGTTCCCTATATTGTAATTTAACTGCGACAGTTATTTTTTCGAAATTTTCTAAATTGTTGTCTACACCGGAAAACATATATATATATAATAGAGAAAACAATACATATTTTTGCAGCACTATTTACATTTAAAAAAACTCCAATTAGAATTCTTGAGATATAATTTTAAATTTATTTGTCGGACCGAATTATGATCGCTTCAGGGTTTCTTTTTCGGAAATTCTGAACGAAATGCTGCTCTGTTGTTCATAGTTTTCTATGTGTATTGGCTGGATGAGATCGAATTTCAGAACTGTTTGGTTTATGTGACATGGAACGTATTGAGACCTGAAACGATTGACATAAGTGAGAGCAATATATGAGCAGCAACATTCTAAAAGAATGATATATTACAAAAAAAACGAAGTTTCATGAAGTTTTTTGAAATTGGATATATTTTTTCTTAAAGGTAAATTATGAATATAAAACGGAATATTAAAAAAAAACTATGAATATAAACACATTTTCGTGGGAAAAAAAAAATAAATGACTCACCTGTAATTTTTCGAGCAGAGGAAACGTTTAAGACGGTTTCGTCCGATTACACATTCATATGTTTTTTTTAAATTCATAACGACAACTGTATGGTGTTATGGCGAAATTGGTGAGGTTGTTTAGGGCAGAAAATAATGGCGTTATTTTTTGTAAGTTGTAGTGACTCGAAAAATAGTATTTTTTGCATATTATCAAGAGACTGAAATATGAAATATTTGGGAAACTATGTATTATCGCATATTAATAAGAGCTATTTTTCGGAAAAATCGAAATTCTGAGTATTTTTTGAAAACAAATTTTGTCTGTAGCAGAGCATCTCCTATTGGACACAACCACCAGCGTAAATATGCAAAAAAATCGTATGGAATTTTTTAAAATTTTAATTTGAGAAATAAATATATGTATGTTTATATCAAAGCAGTTTCTTGTCATATATCACGTGATATGCTAGACGGAAAAAAATTCTAGTATCACTCAAATGAACTGTTCTTCTTCATATATCAGAAAATGATGTTTTTATTTCCGAAACAAAATATGATTTTATGCAAAATAAATAAATGCAGTGTATGAATATTTTTTGAATAATTTAATAGATGCATGAAGTAAAAAGAAAAAAAAAACACACACAAAAAAAACATTATGCATTAAGGAAAATGCTTGAAAAGTGAAACATTTTGGACAATATTTTTTCGTACAAAACCGGTTTTGCGGAGCGTTCATTGTAAATAGAAATAAACGAATGCAAATTTGAAATATAGCAACTTGGATTCCTCTTATGCGCTATACATTCACATTGTATTGTTCATCGTGTCACGCCGACTTTTAAAGTGTATTTGTACTGTTTGAACCTTTCTATTAAGTGATTTATTTTGTTCCGATTGGTGGCACTGAAATGAAAACCCGATTTGTGATGAACATACACATAAATTTAATACATTCAATATGTTTTTTTTTTCAAATGCCAAAACAATTATTGGAAACGTTATTTTTCGATGCCACACAGCCATGTGATGATTTTGATTCCAGATTACAAGATGATTATAGACGTAAAATGAAATATTCGCGTTATCATAAACTATCTAAATTATCAAAAGGTTTTATCGATAAGACGAATTTTTTGCGCTATCGTGTGCGAAACGTATTCGAGCCAAATTTAACGATAATTTTATTCCGGAAATCCTTCAATTTTTCGGTTCGCTGCATTTTCAGTCGTTTTGTTATTTTTTCGAAGAACATTCATGGCAATAAGTTCCTCAAGAAATTTGATTTATGACTTTTCAAAATTTTCAACTCTTTTTGATCCATTAATTTTTAAATTAGCCTTACTTTTTATCAAATACAATTTTGATAAATTGTGATAATTTTTCATATTCTTCTCAACGTTCACTAGTCAATGATTATGCTAAGCTTACAGTTTGATCCCATTCGGCATAAGAAAAATGAGATAATAATTCTTCCGACTAGTCTGCATTATTTCTTAGTCTTCGCATCGAACAATTCACACGGTCAATTAAATTTGGTTAATGCATTATCAATTCACGCAATGCCATCTGCGTCATTATTCAATTCATATAGTAGGTAATATAATATTTCTTCATTTTTTTTAAATTCGGTATTATTCAAAATTGAAGCGTAATAGTTGCGCTGTCACTATTAATCAAGATGGTTGACAATTATGTCAAGTGAGGAAATTAGAAAAATTTGATTATCAAATTTCACAACGTTTTTTTAATGGTCTAGACAAAAAATGCAGCAGCCGATTCCATTGCGAGGTCGTGTAATCGGTTTTGATCTACAAGATTAACATAAACAAAAACAAAACCAAACAATAAATGAAAGGCAGCTCCCACATTCGGTCACGAACGTTGCTAGTGGTTGTTCCATTTTCGCGACTGACACCTGCCCAGTATTTTTTCGCGTCTGCTAATTTCATTCCTGAGTCATAACTTTTTTTTGTAACATTCACTTTAATTTTTTTCATCATTTGACATTTTATATTATTGAGCTCCAATCTCAAGCGAAATAGATTGTTCCATCGTTATGTTTCCTTACATTTTCTTTTTTTTTCGCGTCTGCAAAGACCGTGACGTTTTACAGATTTTTAATCGCAAACTATTGGGAAGAGGATATCCCTGTGAATGCCAATAACGTCGATTGGATTTTGCGCTTCACCGGAAAGTGAGTTGTTTTCAATTTTTTTCCAAAAAGGAAAAACGTTTTTAATGCGAATACAAAAATAAACGTCAATGATGAAGTATCTGAAAAGTAAATTGGAATAACACAGTATTTTCAGTAGGCCACCTTAGTACTGAGAATTCGTTTACCATTTCTTAAATATTCTGTCATGAACTGTTTTCTGTTCAGTTTTTGAAATCTCAAAAAGTTATATTCAAACCAATTCAATGCAACTGATTTAACGAATGTTTTCTCTCTCAAGTTGAAAACAAGAAAAGAAAAGCTGAGTCAGGCAGAACATTTTCTCAACAATTGTTGTTTTATAAACATTCGGTTTCAATAACTTTATTGGATTTCTAAAGGCATTCGTTCCTCAGATTCGAATCAAATTTTTTTAATAAAACCTCAGATCTTATTATTTTCTTATTCTAAAAATTTCTATGACTAAGATTTTTGTTTATGCCATAGCTTTCTTTTGCGCTATTAGCACTGTTTTCTCATCAGATGTTTTGCGTACCATTACACAACAAAAGTGCAATGGTTCGTAAGCAACGTTTGTAAAACTCATTTTGCTTATGAATGTTATATGAAATTCAGGAAACCAAAGTACATTATTACTTATTTTTCCCTGTAAAATTTAATTTGATTTGCTATTTATCAATATATGAAGATGAGTGACGTAATTCTTTAATGATTTTTCTAGTTTTCGTTTTTTAAACTAAAGTAGAACGTATCAATCAATAAATGAACGCGACATCTGCTTGGAAAACAACAATATCTGCTCAGCTATCCGTTAACTATAACATTGCTAGGTCCCCTTTCTTATCAGTGTGACCGTTTCAAGTGCTCATTATCAATTGCACATATACCAATTTTTTTCCGACACTACCTTATTGTTTCGTAGTATTTTTCTAAAAAAAATCGCGAAATTCACAAATGTTTTAGATTTGATGCCGACAACTGGTTAAACATTCAAACTGATCTAAATTTAACAATTAACAAGATGGTAAGAAATCAAATTTTTTAAAAAATCCAGTCAAAAATTAGAAAACGCCACAGTTTTTCAGCTTGTTTTCTCAAATCTAATCAGTTTTCAGGAGCACGAGACCCAGCGACTTCTTGACGCGGATCACTTGAATACTGGTACGTTTGTTTTCATTCCAACCCAAAAAAAAAAACACAAGTGAAACTTTCCTGCAAAAATTGATCCTTTATAATCCCTCTTTGAAACATTATGGTGGTTTATTATCGAAAAATGTGACTAAAATTTCGTCTTTTTAATTCGTATATTTTTAGATTACCAAACCGCTTTGCCAAGAAGCATGGGAGCCACTAAGAATATATTGAAGCTCCTGGTCGGAGAGGAAGAATGCAAGATCTACGCATTCAGAGAGACCAAGGCTCGCTTGGTCAGGAATTCGCTTAAATTGGCGATGTCTATCTTAATTGTTTAGATTATTTTCTATTTGTTGTCGATATTCACACTCGGAATTTACCGTTTGCTGGCGCATTGGAACAAGAAGCTTCTTGTATATGTTCGCTATGTCAGCTGCGGCCATAAAGAAGCAACAGTCATTCTTATAATGTAAAATTCACAAATAATTTTTTTAAAATTAACCGACAATTTTCAGCGATAACCACAAAACTGAAACTCTGAAGAATGTCAAAAACGAATTTTGTATTGATGGAGCATCGATTCCGAACGTATATTGTTTTCATAATGTTTTATTTTGAAAAACTTTTTCTAAAGCCTGGATTAATGCAATATTAAAAAAAATTATTGTCTTTTAGTCTCAAAATACAGCAAGTCTGCTGCAATGTGCAGTTTTTAAATAGTAATTCAGAACAATGGCACAGTCAGCAAGCCCCAGTTTCTTCGTTCATTCACTTACCGGAAAATCAAATATATTTGGTATGAAGGCGAAGAACTTTGGAGAAACCCAGCCGATATTGACAGCAACGTAATCAAATTGATTACATTTCCTGGAAAAATTCAAAATGTAACTATTCAGGCTCCGTTCAAAAATTTCTTGAGTCGTGTTGATGATGAATATGGTTTGGATGGCGGCGAAATTCCAGCCAAACGTGTTGTCTATGGATATAATACGCTGGCAGTCAAGCTCACACCACTTTTGAAGGTTCTTCTTGTTGAGGTTCTGTCTCCATTCTATATCTTCCAAGTCTTGTCGTGAGTCAAAAATTCGAATAATTTCCAATTCTAAACGATTTCAGCGTTACGTTGTGGTATTCTGATAACTACGAATATTATGCATCCGTTATTGTTGTGATTACCACCTTTTCTGCCGCAATCGCAGTCTATCAGACAAGGTAAAATTGCATTGTCAATGACAAATTTGTAAGAATTATTAATTTTCAGAGTTCAAGAAAAAAAAGTGCACGAAATGGTGGGAAAGCCTCAAAAAGTTAGCATTTTACGGGAAGGACAATTTTTGATAGTGCAATCTGATGAGGTATAACATCATTAGGAAATAATTTTTATAATAGTCAACGTTGTTTAGATCGTCCCTGGAGATTTGATCAGCCTTCCAGCTCATTCATTTATTCTACCTTGTGATGCCCTTTTGATGAACGGCTCGGTTATTGTGAATGAAGCTATGTTGACGGGAGAAAGTGTGCCGGTTACAAAGGTTCGATATGAATTTTGAAATGACGACTAGCAAAATGATTGTTGTAGGTTCCACTGAGCGGAGCTGACGATGTCGGAGATGATGTTCGTTTCTCAAGCGAGAAACACAATAGACACACATTATTTTGTGGCACAACTTTGCTTCAAACTAGATATTACGGTGGAAAACCTGTGTTGGCTCTTGCAATTCGAACTGGATTTTCAACTTTGAAAGGACAGCTTGTTAGATCGATTATGTATCCAAAGCCAATGGATTCCCAATACATGAAAGATCTTTTCAAGGTTAACATTTTCAAAAATGAGATTAAAAAGATTACGAAGGATGTTAATTTCAGTTCATCCTTCTTCTCACTGCAATCGCTTCACTTGGATTTATCTACACCATCACTATCATGATCATTCGCGGAGAGCCATTCAAGCATATTCTTGTTAGATCGCTGGATATCATTACAATTGTTGTCCCACCTGCTCTGCCGGGTAACAATTTTTGGATACTCCTACAGTGAGTGATTATAATTTTTTTAAATTTAGCTGCCATGTCGGTTGGAATCATCAATGCAAATATTCGTCTCAGAAAAAAAGATATTTACTGCATTTCTCCATCGACCATCAATACTTGCGGTCAAGTTAATGTGGTAAGATCTAATATACTTCAATGCAAATAAATAGCATAAAATAACTTTTGCAAAGGTTTGCTTTGATAAAACTGGAACTCTTACGGAGGATGGTCTTAACTTCCATACACTTCGAGGTGTGAAAAACGTTGAAGGGCATCCAGAGTTCAGCAAGGAGTTCAATGAAATCGAGCCGAAAGAAATGTTTGAGGAAGGAGTTGATATGAATATTATTAATGCCGCAGCCACCTGTCAGTCATTAACTAGGTAGCATCTATTATATTTGAAGCTTTAATATACTATTCCATCTAACGTTCAGAATTGATGGCACTCTTCATGGAGACCCGTTAGATCTGATTCTTTTTCTTAAGAGTGGTTGGAGTATGGATGAACCTGTTGATAAAAAGAATGAGACTGAACTTTTCGACAGTGTTCAGGTTAGGATGAATTGATAAATCATGTAAACAATAATCGATCAAATCATAGCCAACTGTCTTAAAACCGCCGTCAACGCAATCTCAATACCATTTCCCAAATGCTGAATATTCAACAATTCGCCAATTCACATTCAGGTTTCAAAAACATCCAAAACCATAAGCAGATCAAAATGTTCAGCTCTGCTCTTCAACGCATGTCTGTCATTGTTTCAACTCCCGCCGACGGTACTGCTCATAAAATGCACATATACACAAAAGGTTCACCCGAAAAAATCCTGGAGCTTTGTGATCCTGAAACAGTTCCAAAGAATTATATGGTAATTTTTGCAACATGTTAATAAAATAATTTTTTAAAAACTATTAAGGAAACAATTGACGATTACGCGCAACGTGGATTCCGCTTAATTTCGGTTGCATCAAAAAACATTGAAATGAACTTTGCGAAAGCAATGAAAGCTCCGCGCGATAAGGTAAACGAAAATGATCTGGTAATGGTGTACAAACAGAAGTTTCAGATTGAGTGTGATTTGCAATTCCTTGGATTGGTGGTGATGGAAAACCGGTTGAAAACTGTCACTTTGAGTGTTATTAATGAGCTGTTCACGTAAGATTTTATCAGAAACAAATGAAATATATGTATTTATTTATATATTACTTAAAATTGCCAATTCTTTGAAATAACTAATGGTAAAATAACAAGCTAACATTTATTAATGTGTTATAATCTCGAAGTTGTTTGACTGCCAGAAATTGGTGTTTAATGATTGTGTGCTCCACATGAACAATGCAACTATACATCGGCTCCATAGTCGTCGAGCAGCTTCGACAACATAATCGAGTATAATATTCAATGATTATTGGGCATTGATTCACTGTAAACCACAAAAAGTTTACTGTAAACCAACATAATTGTTATTATCATATTTTTTGTAATAATAATTCATCATAGTAATACGACTACAATCTTCTCCACTTCCTATTCTAATAGCAACTGTTTTTTTAAAGATCGAACATTCGATCAGTCATGGTCACAGGAGATAACCTGCTTACTGCAATGAGCGTTGCAAGAGAATCGGGTATCATTCGTCCAACGAAGAAAGCGTTTTTGATCACTCATGATAGCAATCAGAAAGATTATTGTGGCCGTACAAAATTGTTCATGAACGAGGTCACACAAATCAATAATATTAAAATACATTAAGTCATTACAGAGCGTTTCAAGCTCGGAATCAGATATTGATACAGATTCAGTGGTTCGGGAATTTGACAAAAAGTTGCATTTACAGCCATCGAAATACCATCTTGCAATTGCTGGTACGGGCAACCTAGACGAAACAAATGACTTCAAAGTGAATTTAGGACCTACATACTCAATTATATCAAGAGAATACCCTGAATTGCTTGATCAGTTGGCTGCAGTTTGTGATGTATACGCTCGAATGGCACCTGATCAAAAATCTGGACTCATTGTTTCTCTACAACAGGTGTTTAACACATGCTTCGTGATTTCTATTGTCGTTACAGATCGGTTATAAGGTAACAATGTGTGGAGATGGAGCCAATGATTGCGCAGCACTTAAAGCTGCCGATGCCGGAATCTCGCTTTCCGATGCTGAGGCGTCAATCGCAGCGCCATTTACTTCTAAGGCTTTGACAAGCATAAAACGCGTTATTATATGATAAAAGATTACAGACTCCGGATATTCGATGTGTTCTCGAAGTGATAAAGGAAGGACGATGTGCTTTAGTTACGTCCTTTGCAGTGTTCAAATACATGGCCGCATATTCATTGAACGAATTTTTGACAGTCATGCTTTTGTATTGGATTAGCACAAATATAACTGACGGACAAGTACATTACGCCTACACGATATGCTTTAAACAATACCATATTATAGTTTTTGTACATTGATTTCATTTTGATTACCGTTGTGGCGATGTTCCTTGGTAATACCGGACCAGCCAACAAGCTCAGCCTCATTCCACCGCCATCCCGTTTGGCAACACTCTGTTCGGTCTGCTCAGTGATTGGACAGCTTCTCATTAATTTCGGAGCACAAGTCATAAAACATAGCATTTCAGCTACAAATCAGAAAATTTTTAGCTCATTGCCGTGTTCATCACAATATCACAGCCATGGTATACAAAGTACATTGAGGATGAAGATCATTTAAATTCATACGAGGGCACAGCATTGTTCGCTGTTTCTTCGTTCATGTATCTTGCTTTTGCATTTGTCTACTCAAAAGGAGCCCCATATCGTCGACCGGTTTTCACAAACTATGCTTTGTGTGGAGTGACCCTGATCATTGGAGCTGTAAGCAAAATGCTACGTGTATTCGGAAAACAATATGTTTTGTAGGTTACACTGGCGCTTGTTCTATGGAATGAAACTTTCATAAATGACTTAATGGGATTTCAATCCATTCCTTCATTTGGTTTCAGACTTTTGCTGATCTTTATCTCATTCGCAGCTTCTGGAGTGTCTGTTCTATTTGAGTACTTTTTTGTGCAAGGAGTTGTAGCGACATATCTCGAAAGGTACGATAGTCACGTAATGTTATTGTGAACATAAATCAAAGTTCAAATCGAAAATTCAACAGTTAATTCAACAATTAGTTTATTGGTTTCGTTTTTGAACTTTGTATGCATTCAATCAGATTACTTTATATTTTTGGGGTATTTAAATCGGTTTTTTTTTTTCAGAAAACTCCGCACACGCAAACTCCGCAAACAAGACCCATCACTTCCACTGTTCGAAAGAATTCTTTCTGAAATTGGAGAGAAGCCTGACTGGTTCGAGCTTTCATTGAGACAGGCTACTGTTTCAAAATCAAATGAGACTAATCTCTAAATTATTTTATAGCCTTTATGTATATTATAATATGCAATTTACCAAATATCATTTTTTGGTCTGGTTGTGACCTTGTGGGTATTCTAGATATGTGTGTGTGCGAATGTTCCCGATAGTATCTATCTTCCCAAGGACGTGGTGTTGCAGAAAATATTATACAATGCTCACGTTCGTTTCAATTTGCGATCACGCTGTTTCTTCAGAAAATCACTTTGTTCTCAATTCATTGCATTTACCCAGTTCCCAATGATAACCATTCTCTCGATTCAATAAATTAGCGGGTGCCCCATTCCTTTAATTTCGCCACAAAACATGTTGTTGTTGTCTTTTTTTAGGGAATACAGTTGTTCTTGTTGCTTTTTTCATCGCCCAACCTTTTTTCTTGCATTTCTATTGTCTTTATATATTTTTTCGTCATTATAAAGTGTGTCTAAAAAGCAAAAAATGATGAAAAGCCAAACAAGATAATGAAAACTGTAGCATTTAATTCAGTCACATTTGATAAGGTGTGTTGGCGTTGTTACTTGTTATGGATGGTCTTTTATCATTCTTTTTTTTGCCGTTTAGTGGAAGTTGATCTGACGCTATACATTCCGTATAAAAGACCTTATAAATGTGCGATAGTCGCATACGTTTCCAGTTTTCTCGCAATCCGCGAATTCATTTTTGGGTTATTAAAGAAGAAACAGTGAAGCAGTTTAATGTGTGTCCGTCCAATTTATTCGAAAAACACTGTATAATAAATTATCAATCGTTTCTTTCTTTTTTATGTTTCCTCCATATTCCTAAAAACCAGTGTCAACTGTTTCGTAACCTGTGCTATCCACTTGTTTACCTTCTGCGTCTCACCTCACCAAATTCTAATTACTTCGACTGCATGTACAGAGTGACTCAATAGAGCGCATTTACGTCGCTATTCACCGTCGCACTTCCATCGTAGTCACTTGTATCAGTTTTTAAAGTTTTCATTTTGGCAGGCGGTGCTGCAGTGGGTTTGACATTAATCGCGTGGTCAGCTCATTGCCAGTCACTATATAGTCACACCGTATTGTTGTTTTTGGCACGTTCAAAACCAGGTGTGGCGGATCGAAAAATGATACGCCAAATGGTTTAACCTTTTTATTTTTTTTTGCGATTTTCAAAATAACGTGAAGACGTTTTCAGATGGATATCGCTGCTTGGTTCGAAATCACACTTTTTGACATTATTTTTGTCGTCGTTGTTCTTGGATTGTTTCTTTATTGGTTGACAAAGACCGAAAGACCACTTCCACCACAACCAAAACAAGTTTGTCGCGAGAAACTTTTTCATTTGAATTTAATTTTTTTTTGCAGCTTCCCCCACTTCCTATGACTGACATGACTCTCGCTGAACTTCGAAAGTACGACGGTGTGAAGAATGAACATATTCTTTTTGGCTTGAACGGAACGGTACGTTGGTGTTGAATGTATTGCTATCAAACATTTTTGTTTAGATCTATGATGTTAGTCGCGGACGCAACTTCTATGGACCCGGCAAGGCTTATGGAACGTTGGCTGGTTATGATGCCACTCGCGCTCTCGCAACTATGAATCAGAACATTGTTTCCGATGAATGGGATGATCACGAAGATCTCACTGCAGAGGAGAAGGTGATAGCAGCGCTTCATTACGTTTATTGTTAAAAGAACAACCTTAGGAGACTGCAAACGAGTGGGAAAGTCAGTTCAAATTCAAATATTTCACAGTTGGACGCTTGGTAAAATCAAACGAAGAGAAGAGAGATTATGGCGGGCGTTTGTCGACGATCCTCGGCTCCCAATCACTTGATTCTCTTGTCGCTGACAAGAAAAACGACTAGATAATTCAAATTTATGATCATATGTAATTTACACGAGAATTGCATTTTCGTTTCTCTCAGAATTGTGATAACCTTCTTTACTATTATATCAATAAACTGTCGTTTTTATTCTCTAATGCAATAAACAATACAACTGTTATCACAAATGGTTGCATCACAAAGCTAGAAGAGGCCATCGATTAATTCGGTTTCAGGGTCGATGGTGATATCGAAGAAACATGGGCGAGTGTTGAGACCCGGCATGGTAGTTATCTCTCCGCACAATGGGAAAATGAATCCAGCACCAACTGAAGCGCGCACATCACGGATAGGAATGGTGAATCCAGTTGGAGCACCCTTCTTGGATGGATCATGAGTCAATGAAAGTTGAGTTTTGGCCATACAAATAGGAAGTTTTCCAAAACCTTGTTTCGTGTAGATATCAATTTTCTGTAAACATCACAGTTTGATGATTGATAAAGAAAAATTCGAAAAACCTTTTGGGCAAGTTCGCTCAATTCAATTCCATCAGCACCATAGATTTCCTTGGCAATTATTTCAATTTTTTTCTCCAATGGAAGTTCCAAGTCATAGAGGAATCTGGAAAGATGGTGAAGATAACAAAGCAACTGGAACAAGATTTTTCTACCTGAAGTCATTTGGAGCTTCCGTTGTAACTTTAATGAGAGCTTTGCCAAGTTCGATAGCTCCGAGTCCTCCCTTGGCCCAGTGCTCCGAGACAACGGCATCAGAAGCTCCGTGCTGCTTAGCCTTGCGGACGACGGTAGCTAATTCAGCATCAGTATCAGTTGCAAATTTGTTAACGCAAAGAATAACAGGAACGCCAAACTTTTTAGCATTCTCAATCTGGAAACGTGTACATCCATTTTTGAAAAAGTCATTTTTTCGCAACCTGCTTTCTCAAATTTGAATCGCATCCAGCTTCAACAAGTTCAATATTTTCGTGAAGATACTCGAACTTCAAAGGAGTTCCTGGAGTCACAGTTGGACCACCTCCATGCATTTTCAAAGCTCTAACAGTAGCAACAAGGACAACAGCTGATGGTTGAAGTCCAGAGTAGCGGCATTTGATATTGAAAAATTTCTCCATTCCGATATCAGCTCCAAATCCGGCCTCAGTGATCACGAATCCTTCAGGTCCAACTAGTTTTAACGCAACCTTGTCAGCGAGGATGCTGCTCTGTCCATGAGCAATGTTAGCGAATGGGCCGGCATGAACAAAGACAGGAGTTCCTTCGAGGGTTTGCATTAGATTTGGTCGGACGGTGTCTCTCATCAATACCTATGAATCAAAAGTTCATCCGGATTAATACTACGCCCTTTACCGTAAGAGCGCCGGTGACTCCAATATCGTCGGCGGTAACTGGTTTGCCTGACTTATCTGATCCGATAACAATACGTGAAATCCGCTCTTGCATATCGGCCAATGACGTTGTCAGAGCGAGGATTGCCATTAACTGAATACGAATAACGATTGGGCAAACTCGTCTTTGTTGTGACAATGTTACCTCGCTTCCAACGGAAATATCGAAATGGGTACGGCGAGTATGTCCTTTCTCAGATGGTCCCAGTCCAATTTCAACTCCACGAAGGAAGCGATCATTCGTATCAATCACACGATTCCAAGTGATGGATTCTGGATCAATGTCAAGTCGAGCGAATTGTCTTCGTTGATCGCCGTCAAGATCATCGGCATTTTCAACACGAGGGATTCCAAGGCGATCCAAGCGGCGAAGTTGAATTTCAGAGAGCTTGCGAATGCCTATAAACTTATGGAACTAAAACATTTGTTCACACTATTAATTAACCTTGCTTGTTTTTTGGAGCAAGGCGATTGAACAGAGCTTCGTCGGTTTGAGTGGCCTCATGGAACATTCTAGCATCAATAGCAGCAGCTAGGAGGTTGTTTGCGGCCGTGATGGCGTGGATATCTCCAGTAAGATGAAGATTGAATTCCTCCATTGGGATTACCTATATAATAATAATTATTAAAAAAACAAGTTTTAATTAACTGTTTTCATTTTAGTTTTTATTTTCTTCATTTTTATCACTGTGTTAATATAGATGTCTATTTTGAATTACAGTTTTTTTTTTAAAACAAAATTTTCCAAGTCTGGTTATTGCCAAGCGTCTCTTATATTTCGCTTAGGAATAACTTTTTGCGTGCTGCTTTTTTTTTTGAAGTAGCCTTTAACCAATTGTAACGCTAAATGTTGTCGCATTCTATTCTACAAGAATTAACATGGCTTTAATTAAGCCGTTTTTATATTCTTGGCGGAATGTGGCCTTTTCACCTGTGAATATCCTCCACCAGCAGCTCCTCCTTTAATTCCAAATGTTGGGCCTTGAGATGGTTGACGTACACATGCGAATACATTTTTGTTGAGATGAGCTCCAAGAGCTTGAACCAATCCAATAGTTGTAGTCGACTTTCCTTCTCCAAGAGGAGTTGGAGTAATTCCGGCAACCACAACATACTTTCCGTCTTGAACATGGTTGAGTCTTTTCAAAATATCCAAAGAGACTTTAGCCTTCTTGCGACCGTAAAGATCAAGTTCGTCAGGATGAATTCCGATCTCACTCGCAACCTAAACCAAAATACAAACGCATGGTCAACAAATTTTTGTCAATTTACACCTTTTCGATGTTCTTTGGTGGCTGGCTTCTCGAGATAGCAATGTCCGAAGGCACCGGGTCTTGAAGCGTTGGCTTCAAATATTCAACGTTCCACGAGCTCTGAAAGAAAACAGTTTATGATCAATCAAAGCTATACTATGAAAAATTGCACCATTCTTTGAACGTTCCACACAGAATACTGATTTTTGAATAAAGAATGAATTTTTGGAATTGATGCCCGACTTTTATATTGTGTTGTGGGAATGTCTATATCAATATATATATATACATTGATAACAATTCGTCAATTAAAGAAATTTGAACATCACTGCAACTATTTTGAAGAAGCAACACAGAAGACTTACCATTGCAAAGTTTTCGAGTAGTGAATGCTAATTTTCACTCTCACCGATTAAATACTAAAACTGAGTTGATAAGACAACAGACAACAACTTTCGCAAAATTACTTCGCTCTCTCGCGTTTCCTTATAACGAGTAGTGTTTTGTGTGTACGCCGAGATCATGATCATGATACGAGATGTTCTTCTGTACGTTATGCCGTCAACATATGCGCTATTTTTGATGTGACCATTAAATGGAATATGATATGAACACATCGATCAAATCAGACGTTTACGAATATGTCCGTGGTTATAATTGTAGATTTTATGCGAATATGAAGCAGGAATGTGTATGAAGCGTAGAAATTCGCTATTATTGTTTTTTGTGTTTATTTGCAAATATTTTTACAATTGTAAACAATTTTTTGAATAACAACTTGAAGACTTTGCGATATCAATACAGCACTGATATGCAAAAATGATTGATGGAGAGTGTGGAAGAATAGAAAACAATAAATTCTGCAAAACTGTAATTGGCAAGATATTTTTATTCGTAATCTGCCAGCAAATAACCTTTCAAATGAAACTTTTGAACTTTAATCAAATTTTTGGCTATTTTCAATGAATTTCTACTAATTTACCCTAATTCGTTCGTCAACTGCAATATGGCGATTTAATTAAATTAACCAATTTCGTTCTGATTTGTACAGTTTTGTCTGTATTGATTTCGAGACCATTTTCTAATCATTGAATTGAGAACACGTTTTGTTGTGTTCATTTACAAGAATCCATTAGGTACTGAATACCATTACGTCACAAGATCATTAGTAAACAGTTCACCAGTCAGAAATCTCGGCCAAATCACTGATTTCGTTTTTTTAATCATTTATGTTCTCGATCGTTGATCGGAACTAAGTATAACAAAAAGTGACAACGTGCCAGTTTCATAAAAGTTTTCAATTGTAGCATTTTGAAAATTTAATGCATTTTCCAACTTGCTTACTCGACATCTCAAAATTTTTCATTGATTATGCTGTTTTCATAAAATCTGAATACTCTTTGAAACAAAATAAAAATAACAGTTTTGTATTTTAAAAAAATCTCTAATTTCATTTTTTTGTTATTTTCTCCCCAAATTTCTATTTTTTCTCGATTTGTTTGTCATTTCCAAATTTATAACGTTTCTAAAATTGAAAGATATTAAAATAAACCCTCAAACTAAAAGTAAATAACCAGAAATCCAAAGAATCAATGATTCTGTAATCAAAGTCGGTAATATAATCTATAACAAGATCCTAGTAAAAGATCTTAGTAGCGAGAGTAACACTGGATAGTAAAAAAGTACTCTTCTGATGGAGAGAAAGGTTATTTTAAAAAATTTCCATGATTAAGCGGCGAACAGCGGATACTACGCAGTGTGTCATTTGGAAATAAGTTATAACCGTCTTATAGAGCGCGTAGTGACAGAAGTTTCTGTCTTAAAACCGGGAGATCGTGGGTTATTTCCCGCTCCGGCACAATGTGTTTCGCTCTGTACGTCTCCTTCCACCGGAGGCTCTCTCTTTCTCTTTCTCTCTCTCTCTCATTGTCTTACATTCCCCCGATTTTATTTAGTCTCTCAAAACGCAGATGGAAAATCTTGCCAGCCGGATTTTTTTTTAATGTATGAATATTTATATATAACATCAAAACACCTGATTAAAGAATACTTGATCAAATAAAAGTAAACAGCAAAAAGGTTAATAGTCTTGATAAACTAAGGACTAGAAGTTTTAATGATTTTAATAAAAAATGATGAATACTTTTCAAATTCAGATCTTTAGCTAAAAGCAAAATCAAAATGAATACTTAATAAGACCCAATTGATGGTCAAATCAAGAATGCAGATCAAAATCTTTTGTGGAATCCACTGGATTTGACAGAAATTCTGTAATAATCGAAGATCTTGGTGAAGTTATCAAAGCTCAAGAATGTAATGAGGTTCTCAAATGCCCTGAGCTAAGTAAAGTACTTTGATTTTGACTTTTTGAAATAATTTGATTTTTAGTCTTTGTGGTAAAATAATATTCTTTTATGAATTTCCATTTGCCATTTACCATTGCATAATAAGTTTCAAAATCTTTATTGTATCGTTGATACAAAGCATTTAGAACAAATAATAATTTCACAACAATCTTACGAATCTTAATTTGTTATTTTGCTTAACATTTTCTTTTAGATATTAATTCTATTAGTCTAGTAGTTGCGATGTTAACGGAATTATTGATCTCCATTGTATTATCATAGAAAAATACCCCTTTAATTCAAATTTTATATCCCTTCTCTCCTTTCGGAAGAGTACTTTATTGAATATGCATTACATTTGTTTATAGGATCTTGGGGCTAAATATAAATTAGTTTACCATCATTCTGAAATCGTGTTTCCTCGAACCACTGATTTGAAAAATGGAGTTCATTGCAACTTATGCTTACGATTAAAAAAATCAGCCAAGAAGTTTGTCAGAGCAGCTTACGAAGAAATAATAAAGAGCGTGGATATTCTCAATTTATTCAAAAATTATATCACAGAAGCCAAAAAATCCAATATCAAAATCACAACGCGTTTAAATTCACATCACAGTAAATTTTTATTGGTGCTGAAAAAAATACATGCGTGAAGGTTCAATTCAAACTATTCACCTCAGTTTGAAGTCTGCGCTTCTTAGCTTGTTCAAAGGTATTGCGAATCAGCATTGCGACTGTCATCGGTCCAACGCCTCCAGGAACTGGAGTTATGTATCCAGCAACCTTGAAATTAGTAAGATATTCTTGTTCAAAAATTGCCAGATTACCTCCTTAGCGGCTTCAAAATCGACATCTCCGAACAATTTGTTCTTTTTTCCTTCCTCTGCAGGCTCATCGACGTTGATTCCGCAATCAATGACAACCGCACCAGGCTTGATCCAATCTCCTGAATTTAATCATAATATTCATTGTAACAATTGTAAACACCTTTGACGTAGTTCTTTTTTCCAATGGCTACAACAAGAATGTCAGCTCGGAGACAAATATCTTTGATGTTTTTGGTTTTCGAGTGGCAGATTGTCACAGTTCCATGATGCCACAAAAACAATGAAGCAGCTGGTGAGCCAACGATTTTGGATCTGCCAAGAACAACAACTTCTTTGCCAGAAACATAGTTTATATCTCCTACAACGTAAATATTTTAACTGTGAAAAATACTAACTATTTTACCAGTAGCTTGTTGCACCAAATAAAGGCATCCGAATGGAGTACACGGAAAGATTGTGCGCTGGAGCTCCCCTCTCATCAAGCGACCAGCATTTATTCGTGTCAACCCATCAACATCCTGAATATAAAATTTCTATATTTCTCGAATCCGACTTTTCTTTTATGTAGCTTTCTAACACATTATATGTATTTATAGCGTAGTTTAAATATTTCATAACTATAGAAAGTGTTTTTTTTAATAAAAATGCAGGATTAAAAAGAATTTTAATCTCTGACGTAGATAGATTACTGTTTGAGATAGCTTTTTTTTTATATAACCTCTTTTCGCCTATGAAATTGTTTCTGAAGGCAAAAACTTTTTAATGTATTATAAGAATTTTAAAAAATTTAATTTAAATTACAATTAAGCGATACATTGTGAATTTACTAAGTTTGGTATCAAAATGTTATTTTGTATATTTAACCTATATTAACAACAACAACATTACGGTTTAGCTTTAAAAAATGCGCTTAAAATTCATTTTCTACTATTCGATATTATTACGGTATGCATTTTTTTTTCTTTTCTCAGATAATTTTCTATGCCAAATGATGGTTATCTCGGAGATGATGCGATAAGACAACACTTCCTTGATCAATAGTGGATCTTATAAGATTTCCGCATTACAAAAACATAATGTATGATGTCATCAACGTTGTTTAAAAAAAAACACGTTTACCTTTAATGGATCAATCATATCAATTACTTCATCAGCATCAATCGGATTTTTGCAGTCTAGTGGAAGCTGAAAAACAAAATTATGCTATTCACATTGAAATGCAAACTACCTGGATAATAATTCCATCAACTTCAAAATCATTGTTCAAGTTTTTGATTTCTCTCTCAAGATCGCCTTGAGTGATAGTATCAGAAAGCTTTACCAGACGTCCTTCTGCTCCAATCTCTTTCGCTTTCTTGATCTTCGCGTTAACGTAGACATTCGAATCGCAGCGATTACCAACCTAATTGATAATCATTTGCAAATATTTTGCACATTGAAACCAACTTGAACGATAGCTAGCACCGAATTGAACGCTGGATGCACTTTTCTGACTTCGGCGAGCTTCTCCGACACTTCGGTGAGCACTTTTTTCGAATACTCCAACCCGCTTATCAATTGAGCAACCATTGTCGTCTAAACCAAATGTTTGAAAATGGAGGAAAGTAAACGCAACAATGAGAGGAAAAAAGAATAAGTGTATTTGTATGTTGAGTTTTTGGTGGGAGGCTGTTTAAGAATTCATGAATGTTGTCGTGGATGACTCGCAATTATTCGAAACAATACAAAGAAATCGGAGAGTAACCAGATGTTAATGGCTAGACATATCTCCGCAATATCGCAGCGACTTGATTTCTGCGCAATCGCACAGATCAAATTTTGTTGTGTGGCAATGGGTCTGATAAAGGTACAGTCATAGTGTGATTGTTGTTATTTAACGCGTATAGTGTATTTGCAAAAAAAGGTCAAAGTATGTAGTTCACAATTTTTTATTGCTCTCTCAAAATGTATTCTACTTGTTCATAATTATCTAGTGAAAAAAAATTCATTATAGTATGTATTAATTATAAATATATAAGAACCTATAGAAATACTGGCTGTGTCGATTGAACTCAAATTGTTTTCTTATCAATTTTTAAAAGAATATCTTTATTTATTCGGTTCCAAATGTGTATCTGCCCTACGAACATTTTTTGAAAAATTGTATGCAATATTATGTTTATGTTCGTTGAACAAAAATGGAGAAAAATTGTTTAGCAGTTAATCATAATTAAATATGTATTTTGTACAGGTTGATACAATTAAGAAAATAACATTTTGACGAGGGTGGCTGGAAAAGTAATCACACTGTGAACAGCATTTCCAATGGCCATAACGATTTCAAAGCCTCCCATATCGCTTTCGTCATCTTCGCAAACTCCGACTTTTTCAAGTTTTGCGAGATCGATTGTTCCGACTTCCATCACGTCGTTCTTGATGACATCCGAGCTGAACGTATAGTTGGAGTTATACCAGCATTCAACCTACAAATAAATGATTATTCACAATCGCTTTGAGCTTTATGTTTAGTCGAACCTCCCTAGGCTCGCATCCGGTGTGATGTATTTCAACAGTCAGATTTGAGCTTTCTGATATTCCAAGAATGTCAGGCTCGAATTGTAGAAACTTCAAGGTATCAATAAAATGGAAGTGTCCAATGCGTTCATCTGTAGCAAACTTGTCTGCTTTTATTAAATATAAAAGCAAACCTTCACTGTATACCGTCATGTAATTAACTTTGACTTCATCGTAATTGTTCGAGCAAATCATTTCTCCACGCGCAGGAATGTAGCTAACCAGAGGTGGAATGACGGCAATCGGTGAATCCTCAACACTTTCGTTATCATCATATATGTATCCAAAATTCTCATCGTTCTGTATTTGATCCATAAAATAAATGTTATAATGAATGATAACCTCGGTGCTATCCTCCTCAGCACCACTTTCGAAAGAACTATGGGTGTAGGAGTTTTTGATTTCGTTAAGCGCGTCCTAAAAAAAGCATTGTTTCGGTTTCGAACATCACACGTTTTGTTATAAGGCAATGAAGAATATCGTGTTATATCGAACGATTTCAAATAGCTACGTTGATTCGATGATAAGTAAAAGTACAAATGGTTAGTAACTCACGGCAAAAAATGGGTAGTGTTTTCTATCTTCATGAAATCCAATTAAAGACTTTCGTATTCCAAATACTTCTTTAGAGTCGAATGGTTTGGCAAGGCCACAACTGACCAGAATGCAGAGTATGATAAGAAGACGCATTTCTACCTAAAAAGTAATTATTATGAAGATTTTTTTATACCTTGTTAATGAAAAACCAGCATCAACTGCTAGCCAATAAGCTAGATGATGATCCACAGTAGACTATCACACCAATCTGAGGTGGAGCTCGTAGCCAGCCTGGGAAATGCACTAAAATGCCCTGCTTATTTATACTGGGCATTCGTTTGATAAATGAGAAGCTCGATTTAACTAGAAGAGGGCTGCCCCACGAAAACAGTTCGAGGAATTAGACGGCTGAAGGACTCGGGGGCCGAAGGCAAGAGATGCAGAATTTCGAAAATCGCGGTTTTCCAATCAGCACGAACGTTGAGTCTCGAGCGTTTTTTTTTTGCACGTGGAATATACCTCATTATAGAGAGGTACGAGATTAGAATGAGGCCCCCAATTAATCATTCGTTTTTTATCGGACCACAAGTTATTTTTGCTCGAGAGGTAGGCGAACCCATCAAATAGTTTGGAAAAGTGTAATTGTCAGGTCCTCCGACCGAGAAAAATTAACTCAGCCATCATTCAAAAATATCAGACAAACAGCAGAATTGTTGGTTCTCCAATCATTATAAAGCTCATGAAAACAATTAAATGAATGTTCAATTGAAAATAACAATTCGATGAATTTAAAAGGCTGAGCAGAATTGAGCTGTATTGCAGATCCATTCATGAATTGAATTTTGTGTAGGCTTGGAAATTTGAGATTTTATTTCTTTACGTCATTGAGCAGGAAATAATGGTCAATGGAATATAATGTCTTTTAGTTTTAAATATGATACCATGAAAGTGCAATAAATGATCGGAAAGGAATTGAATTCATCATTGGTCTCAAATTAACTATATGTTAATGAACTGAATATTGTTTGATGTATTCCTGGAATTTGTGCTATTCTGTTCTAAGCTTTCACAAGTAAAGTTGGAATTATTTCTTCTACTTCCAGGGAATCTGGTTTTTTGTAGTTTTTGTAACTTCGATACAAGATAATGCAAATCTTTATCGGGATTATAAGATGAATAAAAATAACAAGAGACATTGTTTTTAAGATTAATTTTTATATGTACAAATTTGATGCTTGAATTTCACAATTTTCAATTAAAAGTAAACAACCATAATTCGGGATATTTTGCTAATCAAATTTATTTCCTCGAATGTTGTCTATTTCGTAATAAAAATTGAACGAACCCATTTCACCATTTTTCTCAAAAAAATTAAGTTTCATTCATTTCCGATATATATTTTTTAATTTTATATAATAGCCAGCATATTACGTTTTTTGTGCAGTCCGTGCCGGACGCCGCTATTCAAATTCATCTCCGTGTGACAGTGTCATACATTCCCATACAAAACCATCCACAAAAACTAATAAACCCTGGGAACTTTCAATCATACAATATCCAAATGGTTGGCTATAAATAGGAGTGTGGTGCTTCGCATGCGCAATTTTTTTCGCAACTATTCCTACTATTCCTATTCGAGTCAGTTGGCTGGCACAATATTGTGTGCATAGATATTTTGATAACATTTCTATGCGACCAATGTTGTGCCGACCAACTCTCGGGTCTTTTAGCGAATCCAAAAGCCTATTATTCCCCTACAACTTATTCGTCTTATGTCTAGATAAGAAAACTAGTAGATCGACGATACAGTGCTCTAAATATATTGTCATGCCCTTATATTCTTAAATTTCAGAAAAAAACCAACCATTTTGTAAATTTAATGAAAAAATAAAAATAACCTATAAAAAAACAGTAATTTGGCAAAATGTGTTGGAATTTGTAAGGAACTCAATTATCATGGATTAGATAGACTTCAATTAAATTATTTAACTTCAAAAATTCGACTGAACGTGAGTAAATCGACCAACCCTTTGATTATCGAAAATCCTCATCTTATGAGCCGTGATGCAAAAGTTCTCGGGAGATGATTCCTGGTTTTTTTTCCGTTTGAGTCTTGATTAATGTGCTTCAATTGCCGACTGATCTTTTTTTCGAACTTTTCCAGTTATCACGAGAACTTGTGTGCACAAGTTACACTGTGACGAAGATAAGAATAATAGTTTAGACTGAACGATGAGATCATGCAAAGAAATACACATTAGTCTTCTTTTTTTCGAGCCAAAGTTGTTTTATAAATTATAGACTCATAAAGTTTGGATGTATATTAGGATGGAGAATAAGCGAAAACCAAACACAACTTTCAGATATCAACATTTAGCCAAAAACAGAAATGGTGCATAAACTTCATAAACTATTATATATTTGAAAATATATCCAAAACCTCAAACACGCCCTAACAGATTGATTCTAGGAGAACTAAGAATCTGCCAAAATATGCTCTGAAATCTGAAATCAATAACTACTCGAGAATTCAATACTGTTAAAAATTGCATTTATGCTGAAAAATTAGATTCAATTTCAATGTTTTTTTTTTTATTAGAAAATGTTCGGTGCACTAATTAATCACGAAATATTCTTATTATCGTATTCAAGACATTTTTTGAAATCATTTTCAGCCAAAACCGAATCGAATCCTTTTCTATCCCTGTCGTGGTGAAGTTGTGTGTTGTGAATGAAAAACCCGGAATGCGACGAGGTGGAAGATATTTCTGTTCGGATAGGCAACAATTGTTTCTGTTAGACCGCGAGAGCATGACCTCTTGCACACCAATTTGATAAAGTTCGTAACCAACACCATTAATTTAAGAGGTCAGGAAAACAGAGCCAACGAATATAAAAATAAAATGTTTTTGCGGTTTAAAGGGGCTGACGTCTCTTTCAATAAAGGAATATTGTTTCATTGACAACCTTAAGGAACCTTGTATAAAAATAAATTTTTCCTCGATTATGTATATAAATGCTTTATTTCAATCACGGAAAATAATTTGCAGATCTGGTGCTGAATACTTGCGAATTGCCAGAACAAACGATCTTACGTCGCGAACTGTGAATCCCTTTTTGAATGTTTCTCCGGTGTCAACCCAAACATTATAAAACCCATCAGGTTTTGATCGGAAATTTCTTTTAAAAATAGAAAAATATTATGATTTAATATAAATATGAAATACCGTTTCATATCGCATGACCACCATGTCCATGAATCCGCACCCCAGTTTTTTGCATAATGCCTCAATTGACAGGAAACTTTCATTGCTTTGATATCCGCGATTTTAACATGCAAGTTGGTTGCAGTTGGGAAATAATACCACTTGATTATCAATTCGCCATTTTTGATCTTTAAATAGATATTATTTGAGATCAAAAAGCAAACCATTCACATAAATGCATTTTTTGAATATCCAAATAAAGTATTTCTAATTCATATAATGGCCTTATTGATAATATCGAATAAAAATTTGAACTGAAAAGAAATTAACTGATTTTTGTTTAATCGTTTTATCTTGAAATACATATGAAAACCATTGTGACTAATTTCATATAATAACCCCATATTTGGTAAAGGATTTAGTTTACATTAAACTTCTTTTAAAATTTTTTTGTGTGGTTATATAGCCCCCCCCCAAAACAAATAAATTTTTAGTCATTTTACCGGAGTTTTAGAAGAGAGAGAGAATTTATAATTCGATCGTTGTTTAATTCAAATTTTTGATTTTTAATTACAGGCAAAATTAAAATAATCCGCTTCCGAAAACATAATACTGAAAACAAGTACTTACTTTACTCCACTCCTCTTCAAAATCTTGACCATTAGTTTTGGACGGCATTGTTAAAAAAATGATCAAAAACGTCAAGCGGACTCGTCATAAATATATTCCGTTTAGAAAGTCAACAAACCTGTCAATCAATACCACTATTTTATTCTCTGGGTCACGGGCAACAAGGTGGTATGATTTTTGTTCTATGCATTTTTGCAACAATCTATAGTTATCGCATTACTGTGGTTCACAATTATTATCAATTGTCATATTAATTGCATATTTCAACATATTTTCTTTTAACGTTGTTTACAAATTAAATATCGAAACAATTATGCGGAGGGCGAAACGATACGTCGACGTTATTCGAGTGTGTCATATCGTTTGCGCCATGATCCAAAGAATAAGGGACGAGATGAACCATTATCAGCAAATGCGGACAACGGACCATATCCTTGCACCTGAAAATTGACAATGAAAATTGGTTAAGATGGTGCGATACCTGTCGAGATCTTTGAGAAGTGCGCCACGATGGTACACCACGGTTAAAGTTGACCGGTTGCCACTGAAATTGCACACTAACGATTGTGAAAAAATATATATCAGAGATTTCACGATAATGACATAAACGTTTAAATTTAAAAATTTTCCATATAGAGTAATTTTTTAACTAGGTTTACGAGAGAGTACTTGATTTTAAATATTACCTTGAGAACACGAGCCATTGAACTGGTGCAAAGGCAGATTAAGAGCAATCCTGCGAGAAGTTGAGCCTTGAACATATTTGACGTAAGAAAATGCGTCCCTAAAGTGGAAAACTTGAGTAAAAATAGGTCTAAATTTTCAATTTGATCGTGAAGGATAAAAGGTACTTGAAGTTAAACGACTATTTCTGTTTTGGAAAATAGGAATAACATCACTCTTAAAACGACATGGCTATTTTTTTCTGTTGAAAGTAATACACGTATTATAATTTTCACTGAGAATTATCAAAAATTTTATATTTTTTGAGAATTTGCTATAATGTGATTCAAAAAAAAAACTATTTTATACGTCACAAATTTATGAACCATGCAAATGCATTTTTCGTAGCTAATATATCCGTAAATTTGTTGAAAAGCCAAAAACCTGACGTCCTTTTTCTCAGCCGGACAAGGAAATATCTGTAGAATTCTTCGGACTTTCAAAAAAACAAGTTTGCAATTGTTTGACTTGCCGATTTTCATTTTCTAAGGTCTGAATTCTAATGAGCGTTGTTACACATTTAGTAAATAAACATCAAAGAATTGAATATTTAATTCTCGAAAACAAAATAGAATTGGTGCTTTGCTTGAAATGACGGAAGAAAAAGGAAAAACACGTGAGAAAAACGTCGCTAACAAGGTAATGAATGACTTATAAGGCAAACAGGACTAATGGACGATGAATGTTTCATGGATGTGTGCGATGTGGTGCTTCATAACTTTACGCGTTATTCGATGAAATTGAAAGCAATAAAACGTTATAAAGCAGAAATCAAGGAGAACACTCTTCAGGAGTAATGAACCAAGAATCATCAGGCTTCGCCGATAACATCGAGCTATATTCATAAGAGGTTTTGTAAATAAGGTCCTCATCTTGGTTTTTAGCGGTGAAGTAGGTGTCCCATGCAAGAAGAGCTCCTGAAAAGAAGTTTGATCGTCAATGTTGCGTTTAATACAGAACAACAAATTGAATTTCCAAGATGTTCTATCGAATTTTTGTCCGATATATATCTATTTCAATTCTTTTATAAAAGAGGAGGGTTTTCTTTTAGATAAAATAAAAACGAAAGCGGCTCAAAAAGTGGTTAACTTAACGAAATGGGAAAGAGAATGAAGCAGTCATTGTAATCTCTCAATAACATCATTTTCTTGTATATCCAATTTAAATATTTAATAAGATTTTCATTTGAAAAAAAATTGTTTAAAAACGAAACACGAATATTTTAGGTTCTAAAATAGATATTAAAAAAGTGTGCTTAATATGTTCCGATGACTACATTCTGTGTACGTTGAATGATTTACATTTTAGGGATTGAATAACGAACATTCTCGAGGTTCTCAAAAATGTATAACACTTTCATGCATTTTCCCCAAAAAAATGCTCAAAAATTTTATCCATATCCAAGAAGAAACAATTTATTGGGGGAAGATCTCAAATTTCCAATATTTCGATGGAGAATTGGTTTCGGTTTTCAGACTGGCTTCATTCCGTTATGGGCAGCAAAACGAAACGAACCTGTTTTCGAGTCAGCGTATGCGGTTACCAAAAATGCCGTTTGTTGAACATTTGTGAGCAACACTTCCGATGGATTGCCTTGGTAGATAAATACTTTGTTACCATTGTGTGTTTCTTCCTGTAGGTTAGCTTTATAGCGATGCAATTTGTGCGGAGGGGGGGGTTGCGGAAGGAGTTGGATGAAGAATGAATGTCACGTAACGTAGACAAAATAATTGTGGTAAACAAATTTAAATCAGGAAAATCATGTGTCAACTAGAGAATGAAACAATGAAAATACGTGAAAAATATTAATGGTTTAAGCACCTGCACATTCAAGCAGATTTCACTTACATATTCGGAATGGTATCTCTCAAGTGATGTCAAGCCTAATCTATTAATATAGCTCATGTAATTAGTATTCGGATCAAATGTACATATCTGAAAACTTTGGCATAATTATTCATTTTCATGTGAAATTCAACCTTTTTCTTATTAGAAGTATCATACCAATATGCATGAGTTTTGAAGGCATAAATTGTGATATCTTGGGTTACTTGGTGCACAAGAGTTTGGTTAGTGTTGCTTTGATACCAAATTGAGTGAAACTTCTCTTTTCTCTTAGAATTCAAGAATAGCATAATTTGAAAATGATTTTTGAATACCGGAGGAAGTTCTCGTGACCCATCAGGATATTTATAAGTCACAATGTACAATCCTTTCTTTTTGGAATATTGATCTACAAAAATTGAGAAATTCTTTGAGGCATCTCTATGATGCTCATGCACATGTGTTCCTTTTTCACCTAAAATTTAGACATTTTAAAATATCTATAAAAATGTTCTACCATGAACAAATGAATAAATTACAGCACCAGCACATGCTCCGATGAATACAAGAGAGAGAAGGAAGCGCCACAAAAGCACTCGAAACCTTTAACAAACACAAAAAATTTTCTTAAGTAACATAACGAAAAATAAAACCGACATTTTTTGGCAGTCCTTCGGTTCAACTTGCTCTACATCTTCCTCGATCTCTGATGCATCAACAATTTTAGTTTCTGACATCTGAAAATGTAGAATTTGTGAACAAACCAAATGTACATAATGATTTCGAAAATTTTTCAAGCTCTAGAAGTTTTTTGTTTCCAGAACAATCCATTCATAAGAAGAATATAAAAATTTAGATGGCATTGTTGCGAATGCATGCAGCCTCGTTATGATAGTGCGTAATGATTAAACAGTTATAAAAACGTGGAGACGCTAGAAGTAATAAAAATTGAGTAAATTATCAATTGACGGCAATATATTCCGGACTCGGTTGGCTGTAATAAATTTGTGCTGGCATCTGATGTTGAAGATAACAGTGAGCGAAATAGTGTGTGCATTGTTCGAGCAGTGTATCCTGAATGCAATAATTAGAAAAGTAAAGAGAAACATTGAAATCGTCAAAAAAAAAACCAAAAAATAATTTTCGCAGAAATAAATGTCGTCAGAAATGTTCGGGCTTGCTATTTTAAACGTTATTTTAAACGAATAAATACTTCAAACTTTGAATTATGGTTTCTTTAATTTTTGTCGTTTTCCAACCAATAACATACAATTGCTAGGAGCTAATTGTTCCTTCAGGTTTGTTGCCAAAAAATGAACAGAAACATTTAAATTTCCTTCTTATTCGTCCAGAAAAATTTACCAAAAATTCACATACAGTTGCTATTTTTTTAAAAATTGATTTTGATCTAATTTTAACTTTTTAGTACCGACTCAATTCAAAAATAATATAAAAATAAAGATCACCATAAGCAAAAACAACGCCAGAATTTTTATTTCATTTTAACGTCACTATATGTAAGGAGGTTATAGAAGAAAACAATTCGTGCCTGTAACTAAACAACTATGTAGGTTATCACAATAGAGCGAAGTTTTTTTTTTAAATTTAAAACGTTGTTAGAAGAAATAAATTTTTTTAAAATATTTTCATATATTTATCTTTTTGTAAAATTAAGTCGGTTTTAAATATATATAATTTGAAGATAGCTTTGAATAAAGGCAAATGCTATCATGCTTTCGGAGGATTAAAAAGTTATTTTCAAGTTTAAAAAACACACTTGTAAAAAGGCTTTTTGTCTATTTCTGCGTTGTTTATTGTTTTCAGAAGCTGTTTTCACTCTCATGAAATAATATTCTTCAATAATTCCACTCGATTATGAGCTTCTCGATTTTGTTCGGATTGTACCTTGAAGTCAGAAATCACATAGTTCATATTTGCCGCGCACTCTCGGCAATGTAAGGAATGCAATGCAATTGAATGTTTGTCTCATCTCCAATTCGATATGCAAACAATCAAGAATGTAGTGACCAAAACTGTGAATGAATGTACATTGGCTATGGAAGCTCGGAAACTTCTTCATTTTGTTTTCAGATACCAAAGTCGATTAATTGATTGAATTTTCCTTTGAGGTTAACGAGTAATATTATAATACGTTTGGTTAACAATGAACATTTAAAAAAAACATTATCAATAAGCATGATTAACTGTTAGATCAATTTCTTAATAAAGCTAATTGCAATAATTGTTTCAATATCATTATGTTCCATTAAAACACATTATTTAGTAATAAAACTTGTGCCTTTGCAATACTTCTAAATATTTGTTTTTCAAGCTGGTCTTTCTAAAAAATTATTTCGAAAATTGTTCCATAGTATTTATTTCCCTAGCGAATTGTTGAGATAATATCTGATTTTTCTTCATATTGGGTCGCAATATTATCCGATAAGGAATTTTTTTTATAAAAGTTCGCGACACATTCATTTTTTCTCTGCATAAGTTTCAATCGTTCGCCGCGCAAAGCGTTTCAACTAGCCTCCAACAATACCCATGTGTACTTTGACGCAAAAATCTGCCGACAGTCTTCTTCATTTTACCGCTCAAACATTTTTTCTTGTGTCGATATTGTAAAAAAAACCATGTATATTTGCTCAAATCGATAAAAAAAAGTCAAGTTAATACGCCCCAGTAAGCTTTTTCATTTATTCTCTTCAATTAGCCAAACATTTTTAGCGGTTCACACTTGTCTTCAAAACTAAACCGTTTGATGAAGCACGTGCTAGCTAATTATATAATAGGGCGAAAGTGAAAACTGTTTCATTGGAGACGATTATGAATCTGCTACATATTTTCCAACATCATTCCGACTGTATTCCGATTACTTTTACAATGATTCATTTTTTAATATTACAAATGGCAATTGTTAGATCAACAACAAACAAATTTCGTATTCCAAAACTGCTTTATGTGCAGAAATATTTTGCTTGTCCGCCAAAACGTTCTATCGATTGCCTAGCAAGTATTGCGTTTAATTTTTCACACTATGCGTCACACTCTGTTTGACCTCAATGGGTGTTTTATCTTTCTTTCAATACCCTGCTACTTTTTGAAGTAGTCGGAGTGATCATTTGCGCTCTTAGGGTAAATCATGTATAATACTTATATTTATAAGTGGGGGAGCGCGACATCAATTTAACTAAGAAACCGAGAATCTTTTGTCATTTTTGTTTCAAAAATAGAAACAGTCCGTCAATTTTTATGGTTAATCATTTTCTTCTTCTTTTATTTATTGTTGTTATTATTTCCAATATGTTTTCTTTTCGCAAAATTATAAAAGTTTTGGCGAAATTAGAGTCGACACTACAACGGAAACGATAGAAAAATTACCGATTCTTCTGGAAGGTAGTTCCGGAACAACGCCACGTATGTTTTCTTCGTTTACATTTCAAATACAATTTCTAGTTCCTATAAGCAATACATGCTTTTCCTAACATTGAACTATATTAATATGACTGGTAAAAAGCAGTGAACATTTAAATTTCCCGCATTTTTGTATACCTTCCTGTGTCTCTTCTCTCACATATAGACACTATCAAATTGTTGGAAGAAAACGAACAATTCATCGGAAATATTGGGGGGAAAATACACACTTCGCAATAAGCAATTACAGGCGAAATTAAAAAAAAGAAATTACCATATTTATATTTAAAACTAAAAAAAAACAATTTTTTTCGTTATTTTCGAATTTTTTTGATTACTATATTAGACCTAAACCAAAAAAACATTGTATAATAATACGTTTCAACGATGGTTTTCACCGATTTTATTCTAGGCAAGTCAATTTTTTTTCTACGAGAACTTCGAAATTTAAATTCATTCGAAAAACTGAATTATTTTGTTAATAATGGAGACGAAATTAGTTAAAAATTCAATGTTTGTAGTTTCAGAAAAACACATGACCATAACAATAAAGATAAACTATGTCACGAATCGTTTTATGTTTTTAAACAAGAATTATTCAACCGCGACACCTGCGTTGTTTTCGCTCAGAATTAAGTTTTCGACATGTTAACGAAGAGAAATTGTGTCTTCAGCATCGCAAATGAAAATCTTTAGTCGTATTTATTTGCCACATAATCGGTGCCACACGTTGTTCTCATTTTGTTCTAACAATTTATTTTTTTCATACGAATAAACCAAAAAGTGCAAACTGCAATTCGTGAAGCGTTTTCAAATTCAGCGAGAAGCAAATTTTTCGAATAAACGAGAAACATAACATAACCATTAAGACGAATGTATTTATACAAAAGATTTTCGTTTAAAAACAATGATTAAATTAATGTATTTTATACCGAAATTACTTTTTGAAAGACGCAAAAGTATAGAAAGAGCTTCTGGCAATGCCCCTTTAAAAAAACATCAAAACAAAAAAGTGTGCGTCTGACTAAAAGTTCGTTATAGCTGTCTGGTAATTTCTAGAACTTGTCAAAAGGAATTTCGCACAAATCTACTATGCATCATTTTTTTCATGCTTCTCGTTTCTTTCTTCACCGGCTTCAATTGTGTTTTGATGTCTGCATGCAAATTTTTTTCGATGAAATCTATTTTAACGTACTTCCGGAATTCTCTAAACAACATATCTTTTTTTTCTTTAAAAATTCTCTATTGCTGAATGCCCTTTTCGGTGCACAAAAACATGCTCTTGTCTGAATTTTTTTTTGTCGCCAATTGCGATTGTCTCCCTTTCTGTTTCAGGTTTAGCATCATTTTTTAGTAGTTTTCAAATGGCTTAAAAATAATCCAACGACCCCTGGAACGATGGGGTACATTCACATGCTCTGTTAGTATTTTCTCCCATTCCCTTCACCTACAACTATTGTTACTTTTACCTCTTCGTGTTTTTTTTCTTTCTGCAGTCTATCTATCCATCCGACCACCATCCATCCTCCCCCACGTCGTCGGTTGGCATTTATTCGAAAATGAAGGCGAAGGTCAAACGATTCGTTGAACAGTTGTGTTTGTGAGGAGCATCAATGCTCCCGCGATCGTTCAAATGAGCAAATATCTTTACGACATGTGGCAGCAGCACAAAACGCATGTACTTGCTTTGCCTCCTCCGCCATCACATTTCTTGGCAGGCTGAACCAACCAGGATCATTTCGTAGAGGCGTATCACCGTCATTCAATTCAAGTGCGAAAATATGTTTGAGACATGTGCGATCAAGTTTAACACCGAAAATCATGCAGCCTATAAATTATCAAAATGCGGGGGGGGGGGGGAGGGGCAGGCCTGCTTCTTTATGACTCACCTGATGTAAAAATTTGCTAAGCGTAGATATTTAAAAAATCAGCATTTATAATTTCAAAAATACTCCGGTATCTGAACTTTTATTAAAAGAATACAACGAAGTTTCTTCAAGAATTCAGTAAGTGATTTAGATATGATAAATTTTTGTCGCAAATTTGTAATTGGAGCTGCATTTTCCCAGAGATTTGTTATTAATACAGTTAATATATTATTCCAAGCAGGAAAATCATACTAGGAGCTTTCAATTCAAGTCAATTGTGCTTTTTTTACTTGAAAAATTTCAAAAAAAAAAATATGTCGAAATATTTGCAAGCACCCGTTTCCATTGAAATGAAATGTTGGTTTTCTTTATCGAATTTTACTATTCCTTTTGAAAAAAAAAATGGAAAACTGAGTGAAAATCCAAACACAATTGTGTCCATGTGAAGTATACATAGTCGATTTATATCCCAATTCCAACAATCAAATACATGTGTAAACTCATATTGTTAACCTCGCAGCGGCGTTATATTCGACCTACCACATTTGACCGCGGGACCCGCGCATGACAATGTTTTCGCAAAGGTGTCATTCAAATCTTTACTAGATTTTTTTTGTTTTTACCTAATCGTGTCAAACGCATTCGTTCGTTGAGTAACGGGAGGAGAACGGCATCATTCGTTCAATCGTCCCACGCAAAATTGTTTATTTTTGTTAAGCGTCTTACAAGTTACATAAGTCAGCAAATTTGTTCTCAGCGAGCTTGTACTTTCGCCAAAGTTTGACATCAATCCTCCTTTTGTTTTCAACCCGAAACACATTTTTGAGCGTTTTTTTGCCAAGCCCAAAAAAACCGCGTTGCGCTGCGCCGAGTTCGAGTACTATTGTGATTAGATGATAGAACCGATTGAAGAGAAAAATTGCCGATTTCTTTTATCCAATTTTATTGACACTCTGCGCACTTCATATCTTGTTTGCTAACTTCATTTTTTATATGTAAAGACACTTTGTCTAGATAACGCGCTGGATCGAATAAAGTTCTTAATTCAACAGGCATTTCTTGCGATTTAATAAATTTTTATCTCGCATATGTGCTCAATAGTTGCTCGATTTTCTTCCAACAAGACGAAGAAGAAAAATCCTAGTTTTTTTTTGTTTAGACATTCTGCATTCCGAACATCTGGTATAGTTAGATTACATCGAGAATGTCTTCTAGGAATTAAAAAAAATACGTTCCCAATCCTTCTCAACTTTGAAATCATTGCCTACCATATTATTTTATCTCTACGTTCAAACTACTAATATCCAGCAATGAGTGAAGTTGTCTTATTCCTACGTTTCTTCTCAATCCCGCCCCATGTCGCCTCCGTCTCTTTTCCGTACTGATTGTTGATTATCAGTGAGGGGAGAAGCTTCACGAAAAAGATTCAGAAACGCCGACGACTTAATTTGCAAAAGAAAGATGTACGCGTGGGCGCATCTTCATCAATATATATCACCTCCCGGGTCTTCGGAACTCATCTTGGCTCTCTTGTATCGCCAAACTCTCTGATCATTGTGTAACGCAGACCTCTTGTCATACGCTGCACTATCGTTGATTCTCGCAATGTGTTATTATCCGATTCTCGTTTCTCTGATTGTCTTCATCTCGGGAGCAGCTCATCCCACTTGGCCGCTGTGCTACACACCCCTCCGGTGGCACTGAATTTGCCAATGGGGTATCATTTAACAAAATCAGCGACTTAAATTCCCGACCACTCCGATGGCTTGGAAACAGCCGGATAAGCTTGACGGTTTTGTTGGTGGTCCTCTGATAACTTCTTACATAAATATAGGAACAATAGAACAATTGTTTAACGTACATAGAAGTTTATTGTTGTTGTTGATTTGTTTGCAACATAGTTTGTTAGTTGTTTCTTCATGCCTTTCACGTATTCTGTCTGTCGTTTTCCTTTCCGTTTCTTCCACCCCCTTCCTATTTTATTTATTTCATTCCATATATTGTGGTTCCCGCGGACGTGCGCTTCTGGGCCGACAATAATGATTTCTCGTTTCGCCTGTTCTTTTGTGTTCGCATATGCTCGTTCTATTTTGATTAGTTTTAATTTTTCTAGAAGAGCATCATGCCAGAGGGAAAGGCGCCACACTTCCCACAGCAGCCAGTCGCCCGTCAGAACGACGATGGCTCTTTGGAGCTTGAGTGCTTCGTTGATGCCAACCCTCAGCCAACGATCAAATGGTATTACGACAATGTAAGTTAACCATAGCGAGGACTATAAAATTTTGAAAATTTTAAAGTTAGGCACACTAGATTCTGAATAATGAATAAAACCGTAGCATTAGGGTACATATTGCGAAATATTTGTAACAAAGGGCTGTAAAGTCAAAAAATTAAAATAGAAAAATGTAATTCCTATTAGAACTTTTTTATAATTTATATATATAACTTTTTTTTCTCAGAACGAAGTCGAGAAGAAGGATCGTTTCACTCAATCTCTTCAGAACAAGGGCGGAGACTCTTATTCAGCAATTCTTTCGATTAAGGTTAGTGCTGAAAATTGACCAAATTTCCGTTGGCTGTCGGAACATTTTGCTGTGCAGATGTCGCCCTCCTCATCCCCCCCTCACTGCGAGCCGCCAAATAGTGTAAAGCGCGCTTCATCTTTTCTTATCTTATTCATCGCAAATATGAACGAGTGTCGTTACACAATCCGGCAGGCGACCAGAAATTGATCGCGTTCAATGGCACATCGATTTGTGTTCTCACATTGAGAGATAATTTTGATTTTAGAAAAAAAAACGAGCAATGGGATAGGAGAAACTTGCGAGAAACTATTGAGAGTGTTTATCATCATTATGGTGTATTGTAGGACTTGGCTGATTCCGACGCCGGAGCATACAGATGCTGCATTGTCAACCCGCACGGAAAAGGAAACGCTAACTTCAACTTGAAGCTTACTGGATTCTCGTCGCCAACATTTGTGGAAAAACCGCAAATCTCGTCCCGCGATGACGGGCAGGTTATGGTTATGGAGTTCCGCTGCAAGTCCATTCTTCCACCAACCTTCGTGTGGAATAGAATCCAGCCAAACGTAATCAATTTCCAAAATATTCAAGATCAGAGCCGTAATTTTTCAGAAGGGTGAGGAGATCATTTGCCAATCGGACCGCGTTAAGTTCGAGTCCCGCAAGGAATCCAATGATATCTACTATGTGACTCTTGAGATCAAAGAGCCAAGCAAAGAAAAAGACGCCGGACAATTCGTGTGCACCGCCAAGAACGAATCAGGAAAGCTCACTGCTACCTTCACTGTGAAGTTTGAAGGTAATTCATCAATTTCGAATCAGAGACAAAAAATATAAGTCATTGTGCCATTTCAGTTCCTGAGGGAGCTCCATCATTCACCCGGAAGCCACAAATTCTCCAGCAAACCTCTGCTTCCGGAGAGCCAGCCATCTGCTTCGACATCGGCTACACGGCAAAATTGAACCCACAAGTCACCTGGATCTCGCCAAAGAACAAGAAGATGAAGGAGTCGAACCGTGTTCATTTCAAGACCTCCGACGAAGGAAACGGCAACTGGACCGCTCAATTGGAGCTCACCGTTAGTGATTTGCTTTGAATTTATTTAATTAGTTGGGAATTATTTTAGAACTACAAGGCAAAGGACTCGGGTACCTACACTTGCAACATCAAGAACGACGCCGGAGAGGCCAACGTTGAGCTCACTCTCAACATTGAAGGTTAACAAAATCGACGTAATTCCACCATACAATCATAAATAAATTCTTTCAGGACCACTTGATGATGGTGGTGAGGACAGCGAGTCTTAAACTCATTCCGTTATAGTATCAAAATCTTTCATAATTTTCGAGTGACCACCCAATGCTTTCTCTAAGCATTTCAAGTTATTCGAACGCAATATCTTCACAACGAACACTAAAACGGCTTTATTTCAAATTTCGCGCCGCCATGTTTTACTATATATTTTGAGACACTTTTGGTATTGTTGATTCACCCACTCACCCACCAAAGAACGTTTAGTCATCGGCACATATTCACAAAGATTTCCGAGATTTGAATGGATATCGATTTGATCTGTTTTTGTATGTCACCTTGCACAACGCCAATAATTTAAACACAGCTAGCGTTCATAACATTGTATTTCATATTTTTCAATCTCATTGTTGTATGATAAACTTGTTCTGAAATGTGTGGTCGAGGCACCGTTTGCTCAATAAAATATGAAACGAGACTTGTTTGAAGTTGTTTAATTTTTAGGAATACGCACAAAATTTGTGATGATTGCACTAAGTTTGAGCATCGCTCATTCCCAAATTTGTCAAATGCTTTTTTTTAGCCTAATGTCACACATTCAAGGGTCAATTTTCTTGTTTTTGTCATCATTATGTTTTACAGTGAGACATTTCTCGAATTTCGTTTTTATTTTTGTATTTGTACGTTTTTTTGCATTTTTTCAATTATCACACTTCCGAACAAGCACGGAATTTGACATTTCGTGAGAACAATATCCAGTTTCATGTTCCCATTTGAGAGCACATTGTGCTTTTATTTTGCGATTCGTATGTCGGCAAGATTGCACTCATTTTTTTGAAACAAAATTGGCTTTATTTTGTTGCGCAAACAAAAATATAAAAAAATATATTTTGATTTTTGACGCTGATATTGATGCAAATTTACGATATATTTGCTATTTTCATGTTTAGTTTTTCATATTGCTCATTAACAATGCGAAAAAGCGGACTATAAATTGAAAAATTATATATATATATATATATAGTCGGCGTCCAGCGACTGCTGTACGCGTGTAGATTTAAGCGTACGCTCCATGAAAAGGTCTCGCTACTTGTGAACAATTATTTCGTTGTTTTCGCGTGAACGGTTATTTTTTTTCTTGATGAGTTTCGCATTTCCTTGAAATCCAACGTCATTCGATTAAAAAATTATAGAATCGCTCCATTAAATTTGAAATAACCTGTTCGTGCGAGACCAAGAGAAAGATAAAAAATTTCATGAGAAAAAAAATCATGAAAGAAAAAAAAATTCATGAGGGGAGAAAACACTTATAAAAATGATATTTTAAGATGTAATTAAGCTGAATTTTAGATTTAAATTGTTTGTTTCCTAAAATGTTATTATTAATAACTTTAATTTCCAATTAGACATGAAATTTTATTTTCAAGAAAAGTTTTCTCAATCTGCCATGTAACCATGGTTTATCCAATACCGCATGTTGTGAGAGGATTAAATAACTGATCCAGACTTGAATTGACGACTTTACAAGTTGTCTGAAGTTTTGTTTTCCGCTTTCTAATCCGGTATTGATAAATGAAATGTAAAATAATAGCTCTCCAGAGTTTTATCTTTCTGAAATGGAAAATTCTCATTATTAATTAGGATGACCAGAAACCTTAAATTTTCTTAGAATATGAATTAATGGCGCATCTGCCACATGGATAATTTATTTAGAACAGAATTGAACCATTTGCGCTCAGCCCTCAATAGCCCTTTTTTTGCAAATCTCGAAACTTGAAGGCAAAAATTTATATATTAATTTTGATTTTTTCAGCAATATATTTAACATGGTTAGATGTTTAATCCACTTATGTATACCATAAACACTTCGTGTAATATTTCAGAATCTCATAATCATATTCATTGAATTATTTAGTAATCCGATTTGGTCTGCACTTGCATAATTTTCATCACGTCATCGCAAGTTGGTCCAGTTTTCTGAACTGGAAAATCGCTTATATATTTTAAATGAAATTAATTATTGAAATAATTGCAAACAACAATATAGTGTTTAAAAATGAAGGATATCGATTTGCTTCAAAAACACTGAAAAATTAGAAAAGCTTGCCCAACGCAAGAAGATACTAGTCAAAATTTCAAAAACTTCCAACATGTGGATATAATTATTTTAACAAATTCCAATTAGCCCTAACAGTTTCAAGTATTCTGCATTTCGCACAACTATTTTTTTCCTTCAATCTAAATTTTATTTTTCTAAATTTAGTAATTAATAATTACCCGATAGTCATTGCAAATAGTAACACTGGTTTGAATGAACACCATAACGATATTTTATTGTATCGAAGTGTATGTAGTTTCTTATTTAATCCTTTCTTTCACTGAAAATGTTTTCCCAATCGAAAAAAGAGAAATATATATCAAGTCTCTCCTAACAATTCTCGAAAATTTCATATTTAATTTTTAGTTGAACAGTCGACCACAATTTGATCTAATCATTTCCTCTTCTATGAATCCTGTCAGAGGCTCAAATAATGTACGAAGTGCTTAATATGAAAATATTCAAAAAATAAATTTTCGTCAGTACATCTTTTGTGCGATATGTGTTTTCCCAGAATAGCTTATACTTACGGCAAAAATCTCAATATCATAAAAGAAAAAGAGAACATCTTATCTTTTCCAATTTTTGACTAGCATTTACACTGTTTTTCTTTTTCTTCATATTTCACCACTTTTCCTAATATCCGGTTTCCTTCGCGCATCTGCCAAACTTCCCCCGTTCTAGTGGGTTTCAAAAAAAAGTTTTTTGAACATTGAAACATGCTTCATTTCGATTCGCTTCTTCAGTCGACTTTACAAATTTTATGACCCGATACGAGAATAATCGGAGCTCGTTAAAATGTCATGGGCGCAAAAAAACTGGGATTACGCAGTGAAAAAAAAACACGTCCTGAAATATAATGCACAAAGATGTCATTCGTTAACCCTATGATTTGAGACACGACAACCAAAATTGGATGCAACACCACCAAGCAGAACATGAAATATGATTTTCAATCGCTGCTCATTCTGTCGTTTTGCGTCGAACCAAATTTTGTTACTAGAAAATCAAAAAATAATTGAATGCATCTAATCGCAAAGATCGCGAAATAATTTAGTTAGAGCAAACGTTCCGGAAACTGAATTTGTATGCATATTCATTGCAATAATTCATCAAATAAAGTTAGGCAAAACTCACAAACCGATTAATCGACTATTCAATTCTCATTAGTACCATGGATTCGCCCGACTGCACCGCTTTCATTGACTAGGTTTGTCTAAATAGGACCTTTTTGTCCTATTGCTCTTTTTTCTTGTGTTTGCTCATTTCTGAATTTTCATCCCTTCATTTTTTTTTTGCATGATAGTTTGTAACTCATCCATGGAGATTCCACAATTTAATAGATGTAGTAAAAGTGCTCTATTGTAACAGTGTTGAGAAATAACTTCCACTTGTGTCCACATCATTGTTTTCGGGGAGTAATCTTTTAAATTTGAATTTGCTTATTGAAACGGTATTATTGGAAATATTGGAGTAGGTTTTATAAGGAAACTACCCCGAAAGCTCTTATGGAAAATTGGTATGGTATTTTTTGGGTGAAGTTATTCATAAAAGATCGTTGTACCATATTAATGAATTTCAAAAGACTTAATTGAAATTTTTTTGCATTACTTATAACATCTCACACGGGGGTTATCGTGCAATTTCTGCTATAATTCTCTTCGGCATTCCCCTCAATTGTAATCATTTCTTCTGGGGTGTGGTTTATATTTTTAATTAAAATTTGTGTTCGAAGCTTAAGAAATGATACCACAGGGAACAGAACACTCCTATGGTACTATTCGTCTTTTTAAATAACCATATGAAGAATGCGCAAAAAAAAACTGTTTTAGTTGTAATGGTTTATTCGTTAAAAATCTTCACCTTTGGATTTAGTAATTTTTCCCTCCCAAGAATTTACTAATTCTCAAGAAAAAAATTATACAGCTCGTGGGCGGAGCGCTTGTCATCATGCACGGCCAGGTATCTCTTAAATGGGCTTTAAATATTAATAAGAGGAACTCATTTCATGAGCGTCATGCTGTAATGGTGCGAATTACTATACATATATAACCAACAGCCTATTTCCCACAAATGCGAATTAAAAACATGAGTTTTTCAAAGTGCAACTAGTATTACTCAACAAACGTGTGGGAAAATCGAAATCTTATTCAAGAATAAGCACGTCGAACGAATATTTCACGTAACGCATTTTCAATTATCTAATTTGAAAAAGGTTTAGGAAATCATACTTTGTAAGATTATACGTTATATCATAAACAAAATGTTTGTGTTTGTCTAGGGAATCATTTTAAGATGGTTGAGCTCACAATCATTTCGGAATACCATAACCAATATTTTAAGCCTCAAGCTTGAAATATATCAATATGTACATAGTTAGAGTTGATTGAAAAGAAGATATTTTCAAGTTTTTTCAGATAATGAAAAATAGAACATTTTTATGATAATTCAATATATGCTCACTATTTTCTTATATTAGAATAAACAAGATTTGTTGTCCCTCTCTCCATGTCTATAACATTGCTAAATACAAAATCATGAGACCCATAACTCCTCTTATCGTTAGTGTCCGTAATCAGTATATCCGCGTAGGATGTGGAAAGCTCCTATAAAAGATTATCCCCGCAATTCCAAAAATCTTTTCTGACTAATACTATTTCTTTACATTTTCAGAGATATGATTTTTTTTTCTTCTAGCCCGTTTTTCTTTCACACTTTTCAAATCCAATTTATTTATTTCGTAACACCTTTTTTCTTAGATTAACCTGTTATTTTGTTTTGACGAGTCCCTTCTTGTGGATAAGCTCCATGTTTCCTTTTTTTCAGATTTGCTAGTCGAACTCCATCTTCGTGCCGCGCGCTTCGTCTTCATAAATAAGAATTCTTCGCGTGCGCCTATTTTTCAACATTCGACATATTTCTTTAACCCATAAAAAAAACTCGGTCAAGTCAGTTTTT